TCACAAAAGATAACGACTCCTATACGCTTTAAGAGCATTCAAAATGCCTTGTGCGCCATCGAAAGCCGAACTATAATAAATATTCTTTCGGGCACCGCTTAAAGAGAGAACGACAGACGTCGCATGCGCGAATATACTTGCTCAGTAAAACAGAGCTTATCTATGTATGGTCATAAAGAGCTCGTCTTTTGTCATAAAACGCTTCCGCCCGCTGAGACAGACTCTAAGCCTCGCAACTTTGAAACGACAAAAAAGAAAGCTGAGTTTATGTCTCTATCACCCAGCGAACCTATCACAATGTGGGCACCAACAGACTTCTGAGCAGAACCAATTTATTGACCCGCTATTTTAGTTGTACGCTCAAAAGTTCTTGTAGACCATAAAATGATTTTTTTAAGAATGAGAACGGAACAAAAAAAAAAAGGAGTATAATGTATAGCCAATTCTTTTTTTAACGTATCTGCTTTCGGTCGACGTGTCATAACTTCCGAGGGAACTGTTCCCGTAAGTACGAGACAACGAGTTTATTGGGCGCTGTAAAAAAATAAAATAAATAAAGATAAAAACAAAGATAACGCGCATCCGTTGCTTATCTTTACGCCCCGTTCACTCGGATACGAAAAACTGGACGTAAAACATTGGAGGCAAATATGTATATAAAAAAAGAATTCCAATTTGCCCAAAGTGTGAGAACGACCAAGTTTGCGAAAGAATTAGTGTGTCCATTTGTTTTCGGTGGTCTTTTTTTTTTCCCATTTGCGCAAGATTTTGTCTTTAGTCTATACGGCAACCATTTTGACGAAAAGGTTCTGGTGAAATAAAAATTAATTTCAAAAGTTGATATTGCGTAACGTAACAAGATGGGGACAAAAATGCCAGCCAACTTGATTATCCATAGTAAGACCAAGATTTGTCTTCTAACTTATGTAAAATTGCAATTTAGAAACCACCAATATGCAAACCCGACGCCTGGATGTCTGTCTCACGGTGGAGGCACCCTTGGTAGCATCGAACGCGGCCAGCAAGTGCATCGCGCCTTGGGAATTGTAGTAGATCGTTTTTCTCCTCCGCTACGGTATCCCTCAAGAAAACGCCGCAGCTGCGCATGCGCGCCGCCACCCTTGTCTGCGTAGTTCAGGGTCTTGTGGCGGATTACGGAGCGCTATCCGGGTGCTTAGAGGGCTGCGGAAACGGTCTTCTACAATTCCCTGATCACACGAACGCACTGTTTTACGATACTCATCCAGTTCGAAACGGCGAGGGGCGGGCAGGAGGTTGAGGCTCAGAAAAACCTTGAAGCGATCTGGCAAACTGCCTTTCCATCCCCTTGCACGCTGATAGTATTATAGTCCGATCAGTTTAGTTTGTAATTGTTCGGGAGGTTTATTTACCGGGACGGAGGAGACGCCGAGCAAAGAGCACAGAAGTCGACACAACTCGAGTTCGAGGAGCGTTTTTACCAGTGGCGTCGGAGAAGGGCGGGGGAAGGGGGGGGGGGGGGGGGGGGGGGGGGGGGGGGACGGCGGGGGCTTCATCCTTTCTTTTCCCCAAGTATTTCGGAGTGTTAAAGAAAACAATACGGGGGAAAGAGGGCGTGGTCGACCTTATTTTAATCTGAAATGATTTATGCATATGTATAACTACTGTCGCTCTTCACTGCATAAAAAATCGTAGATGGTCCACTGTCGGAAACTCGTCACAAGGCACATAGTTGTCACATATGCTAAGTGGTTCGGAAGTTCAAAGCTATGTCTTTTCGACCTAAATAACTGTGCCATTGGTAAAAAAAATAAATAAATAAATAAATAAATTAAAAAAAAAAAACATAACAATAAACGCGGGGATGAAAAGCTGGAGAGAAAAAAGAAACTGTCAAGAACCCGCCGGAAGTGTTGTATTCTTGCATATTCAGAGGCTCGGAACTTCGAAAGTTTCGAAGTTCTGAGTTCGAAAAGTTTCGAAGTTCGAAAAAGAATAATTTTTCGAACTCCTACCAAAATGTGTACAGGCTAAAAGAAACACGTCCCAGAAACGTAAAACGAGGAGAAAAAAAGAAAAGAAAAATGGCTTTTTTTTTAATGACGCACTGAATTTGAACAATATTTGAAACCTTCACCCATAAGATAATTTACTTCTCAACGTGAAGAAACAATAAATACGTCATTTTGTATTCTGTACAGTGCAATGATATATACAGTCTGTGGCGTTAATTTAAATGCAATACCTCAAAAAATCTAGACGAAAAAAATTACCAAGTTTAGGGCACAATTGCCCGTAAATCCATGTTTGGACATTTCTTCGAAATTCCTCGCGAATAACAATAATCATATCTCAAGACGACACTTACCTAGGCAATACATAAATCATTCTTAAAAATATTAACATATCTAGCATGAATAGCTTCGGGTATAGCGCGCTTCAAATATGGCACAAACAACAATCGTCAAAAACCCGCCGTCCTTCCTCGCTCCTTCGGGAATTTATTTATTTAAAGCTAAGCATGCCAGAACATTGAAATAAACGGCATTGCCTTTCGCAAGGAATGCCGGCACCGCATGTAAAAATTTGAAAGAAAATAAAACATACGAATGTACCTCACTGCCTGAATCCAAACGAAACCGCCCGCCGGTCTTTCGATGTTCGTCGAACTTTCGACTTTTCAGGATCCGAAAGTTCGAAATTTTTCGAATTTATTAGCATAGTAAGTTTGAAAAGTGTCGAACTTTTTAGTGCAAGAAGTTCGAAAAGCATCGATTTTTTAGTCTATCAAGTTCGAAAGTTCGACCAGCATCGAATTTTGCAGCGTAATAAGATCCAAAGGGATCGATTTTTTAGCGAAATAAGTTCGTAGGTTCGAAAAACATTGCATTTCTGAACGTGAAAAGATCTAAATCGAAAAGCGTCGAGCTTAGTTTAACAAGGTCGATATAGAACGTTTGCTAATTCGAAAACTTTCGAACCTTTCGACCCGCTTGATTCGGTCATCGAAACTTTGGTTCGAAAAAAGTTCGCGGCCTCCCTACATAGAGCGGGTCGATGACCAGGCCGACGACGCGTCAGTGTACATGCACCAAACTGTCTTCGAATGGCGGATTTTTTGAAGATGGCTGTAATGGTTACGAAATGAAAAGTCGGTCGATTCTTGACAAGATATATAACTCAATCGAGGGAACGACAGAGGTCCCGCGACTAAGACGTACAGCGTGGTGGACAGTCCTTTTCATCTAAATTGAGATCAACCCCGCTCCGATCGTCCAATGGGCAGACTCGGTCGGAAAATGCCGTCCGCAGGCAAAACTGAGATAACGGGAACCGCGTACACGGATGAACCCTCTTTGGTGGGCAAGACTTTTCCTATCTCGATCATGGAGAAGAAGCGACCTTTTTGGACGCTTTGATTACACCGTGCCCGGGACGCGTCCACGACTGGTTTGGTTTAGCGTCCAATCTCGAAACCAAAAGTGTTCCCAAAAGCTCGAGTGTCACGCCGTCGGACGTGGCGATCCTGATGGTCGGCCGGAGAAGTTCCGGCAAAGAGTACGAGCGACCGCGAGTGTCGCTGTCGTCGCGGCGTCTCAACTCCTGGCTGCCGAAGCTTTCCGTGGTCTGTCAAGCTGAAGAGCGAACTGTAGCGGAACAGGCGTCTGCCGCATCCACAACCGCTGCTGCGGTACACCGCCAGGATCGCGACCGGCGACAGCGTGACACTTGTGTGACGTCATCAGGGGGACGCTATGCAAGACGGCGGGTACGGACTCGGCCGTCCCCACCAACCCTCCGGCTGGCTGGAACAGTTCGGTATAGTCATTCGATATTTGTCTTCCTTTACTAAAAAAAGAAAAGCAAAAAAGTTATGTGTTTGGGGGGAGAACCTTCCAAACCAATTTCTGCCCACGCCACTCGAGCCACGTGACCTTCGGCGAGGGATCGCTGCGACGCGCTCAGGCAAGCGGTCACGTTACACTTTCCTTGTATCGGCTGGGATGGCTGGTGGGGCGACAGTGCTCACACTCGTCGGCCGACACTTTTGCGAATTTTTTATCGCAAAAACAACTTTAAACGGACTATCTCACGCGCTGTATGCTCCCCGAGCTTGCGCCCAGCGATTTTTGGTGGTTTTCGAGTGACACTCCCTGCGATCGAGTGTTTTCGATGCGCTCCGCTGTGGCATCTGCAATATCCCTGTGGTCTCGACACACCCCCAATGAAGTCTTCACAACGGGCATGCTGCAACCGTGTCGTCCTTGTTGCAAAATAAAAAATAAAAAAAGATGCGTAAGATTACACAAGCACAATAGAGTGAAGTGACAAAGTTTCTGTTAACGCGACAGCGTTTAGGAGCTCGTGTCGTAGAAAATCCGGAGTCGCCGTGACCAAAAATCCCATAATGTAACGCGCACAACCATGTGTGACGTCACACGTGGCTGTGACATCATAACCCTATCGACCCGCTAAATTTGGCGAGGAACTTTTCCGTTAAATTTAGCCGAAAATTTTCCGCTAAATTTAGAATTCACTTGAGTGCCGCCCATGACAAAATGCTTTATGAAGCGGAGGGGAGAAAGGAGGGCCCCAGCAAAATGGAACATTTCGAGGGAAGGAAGGGCGGCCCGGCCGAATAAATTTTCGAATACGCGCGCTTTCGAAAAATCAGTCCACCGGGAAGCCGTCACTCGTGATTGGCTTTCGCGTGCCCTCCCCTGCTGCCTTCCCGTCCGGTGACGCCCCCTGGTGTTCTGCGCCACAGCGCAGAAAGAGGGGCGAGGCACGATCTTTGATTGGACTTTTAATGGGGAAATCGTCCGCTCTTCAATGTGATTTCGGGTTTCTTAGGATGCTTAGGGCACGTAGATTGAGTTATGAGAATAAATAAACGATCTCAGAATCCACTTGAGTGCCCCTTTAACCGTACTGACACGTGCCCACGCGAGCGTGCCCGTGCCGGCCTCACATGCAGCGCACGCGTGCCACGCAGGAGTCTGACGACGGCTGGTCTCCCTGGGGACCGTGGAGCGCGTGCTCCCGCACGTGCGACGGCGGCGTCACCCTCCAGTCCCGCCGGTGCTCCAGGTTCGGATGTGTGGGCGAGAGCACGCGCTCGCGCATCTGCAACATGCAGGTACGTCACTGCGCATGCGCACCACACGGTAAGGACTGTCCAAACAGTATGCGACAAAAATCGTCAGGCGATACGACTCCGACATAAACCGCGTGGCGCTCCGCTTCCGCCCATTTTTTTTTTTTTTTTTTTTTTGCCGGTGTAAAATTTTTTAATAAAAAGTCGCCCGTGTTCTTTACGGGGGCCTTGAATATGCTCATCATGTGGGCCCGGACAGCCACTAACAAGCTCTGTTGGCTGTCGGTCAATCGCTCAAGGCCTCCGCTGCTCTTCAGTCCCGAAAACGGGAAAGGGAAGGGCTGTGTTCGAAATCTTCCCAAATAGATCCGAGCTACTCCGGCGGGTCGTGTCACGTGATAACACAGAGCGACGTTGGCGGGGGTAGGTTTTCGAAAGCAAAGGTACAAAACCCTTACCCTGGAGTAAGATCGAGTAAATTTTGGAAAACGGCTAAAGATTCGAGGGCCCGGCAGAACAGATGACGAAAGGCGGAGAGAGAGAGTAGGAAAATCGTGATGTTCGCTTGGTGCTGTTTGAACAGACATCGAACTGCCGGACGCTTCAACTTCCACGATTTTTGACGGAGTCGTGCCGTCTGACGATTTTTGAAGTGTCCTGTCTGGACAGGCCAGATGACAAAGGCACGAGCCAACGTTGTTAGATTAGTTCAGTTACGGAACTGTTCATAGACGCTTGCTTGTACCCCCTTCACCAACCACGATTCGCCTCCCGTCGTTCGTTGCGCCGGACGGCCGCTATGGTAACTGCTATGTATTTGGAATACATACGTTTCGAAGCTCAGCGTCTAGATGGCGTTCCAGCTCTGCTCTATGAAACACAGAGTTATGAAACGAAAATCTAGATGGCGCTTCAAACGACGGGAGGCGGACTGAAGTGACTGGGGGGGGGGGGGGGGGGGGGGGGGGGTGCACGCCCTTCCGGCGGGAGTTCCACAACTGAGGTAATCTAGTAAAGTTGGCACGACGGAACTGCTCATAGACGCTGCCTGTATGAGTATTACCGCCCCACGGCTCGCCTCCTATCAATCGACGCGCTGGACGACTGCTATGCTAACTGCAGGGTCTTATATGGAATACGCATGTTTCGAAGCATAGCGTCTAGATGGCGTTCCACTGTACTCTATGGAACGCAAAGTTTTAAAACGAAAATATAGAGGGCGCTTGAAACGACAGGAGTCGGACTGAAATTAGTGAGGGAGAACCCCCTGCGGCCTTGGCGGGAGTTCCACGGCTGAGGTAATCTAGCAACATTGACAACTAAGCTAACTAGTCTTACAACTGTCAAATTGTTAAATGCATCAATGCACGAGGGCCATGTCTCGTACGGCCCTTGGAAGCGAATGGCGGCGCAGCACTCTCGCGTGGTACGTGCCTATAGGTGACATTCACTTGACGTCACTCGCTAGGTTCGCTGGCATCGCCCACCACGGTCGCCATCTTCGAGGTCTCTTGCTATCGCGAATGCCATCTGGCCCGACCTTTTGAGCGTGGTTTAGCAGTATTTTACAACTTTAAAGGGTCTTTTTGATCGAAACTAGGGGTTATTCTTATACTTTGGTGCTTTTGAAGCGCCGTGGGAGTATTTTTTGTGTGTTTTAGTTCGTTTTTGTCGCTATCGGACTCGTTTACCGCGGCCGCGTTGCTCCCTCGGCTCCATGAAGCGCTCCGTGTCGCCCGCCGTGCCGACGGCGGTAGCTCTTGCAATAACTAATTTTTCTACTTTGGTGCTTTTGTAGCACGGTGTGATTACTGTTTGTTTTGTTTTGCTAGTTTCTTTATTGTTTTTCTCTAGCGGATTTTCTGTACTACGGCCGTGTTACCGTGTTGCTCCATCGCCGCTGTGTCGTACATACGTCGTGCCTTCGGTGTTCGTTCCTGTGCAGAAACATAACGCGCGGCTCACAGAGTGCGCAGCTTATGAAAAATACGGCGCATTTTTCATTAGCCCAAGCGATTTAAAAACCGCATGTAAGCGATTTGGCAAGCGGGAAGACAAGCGACGGCGACCCGCTTCGCTGCCGCTCGGTCACTCGCGCGACGAGGCAAACCGCATGAAAGCGACGGGAGCACACGACCAAGGCGATGAGCGCTAAGTTTTCTAGAAATCCCAAAACCGAGCTACGCGACGAGTGACAGAGAAGGGTGAACCGCATGTAAGCGATTTAGCGAGCGATGGCGACAGCGACGGGAGTCGGCGACGAGCTACGAAGATTTCTCGCGGTCGGTCGTCGCGTCGCTCGGTTTTTGGATTTCTAGAAAGGGTCGCTTATCGCCTTGGTCGCTTGCTACCGTCGCTTTCATGCGGTTTGCCACGTCGCGCGAGTGACCGAGCGACAGCGAAGCGGGTCGTCGTCGCTTGTCTCGTCGCTGTCGCTCGTCTCGTCCCGTCGCTCGCCAAATTGCTTATATGCAGTTCAGCCTTTACACACGGTACTCGGCGGCAACAAAGAAAACGGCCCGCCCCCGACATCAACTTTTCTTCTCTCTTCTGTTCAACGAAGCTTCAACGATATGAAATTAGCACACACTAGCAGCGGACGACCGCGTAGCGTACCCAAGCCAGTCAAACCGAGACCTCGAAGATGGCGGATCGACGGTGGCGCTCCCTGGCAAAATCGAACCTGCAGGCTCAGTGAATACCACCTATAGGATGTTAGCACAACGGGTGTTAATTTTGTCCGTTGTAGTATCAAGTTCCCGTACAAACAAATGTGGGAAAAGTGGCGCCATTCATTGTTGTGAGAATGCTCGAGACACGTGCCGCGCGCCACTTCTGGAAAGAACATGGCGTCTGAAGTCTAGCTTAGTGCTGCGCTACTACAGTGTTGCTGCGCTGTGCCGCCATGATCTTCCCAAGCGCTGCACGTTGCAGGTGCCTAGGGTGCCTACATGTCTGTCTGTCTCAGGGTGAAGACATCCATTGTTGCACGAATACGCCAGCGCGTGACGCTTTCGCGCACTTGCTGCGTGACTTGGGCGATAAAATGGCGTCTATGCATCAGCCAAAGCTGCGCGCTCGAGCTGAGTAACACCGTAGTGCGCGCACTTCAAAATGCATAAAAAAACGATTGGGCGTGAAAATGGCTGAGATGTCACCACTCAAGCAATAGCGCGCGTGTGTATGAAGGCACTCTACAGGTGCCTCGTGCATCGACGGACCTTGCGCTACTTTTGGAACTTGAAGGGGCTTCAACTTTTATCTGCCACTCAGCAAGCGACTAAGCCAATCGGCATAGAGTGCTGGCGTCGGTTGCACCAATCAACTGCCGGCGCTGCAACACGTGACTGCGTTCTTGGCGCCTGTGCCTCTATAGGGAAAGACTAATGGCGTGAGCGCGCTCCACGGTAACGCCCAAAGATGGCTCCACTGACGGCGTGACGGCGCACTTAATCGAGAAGCGAACACGCGGGGCACGTCGGAAGGGTCTTTTCACTTAATTGACAGCGGCCGAAACGTCGGCACAAAGAGCGCGAGGAGAAGCGAACGTGACGTCAAGATTTGGTGACATCTCGCGGAGGAACGTTCGCGAAAACCGCGCTCTCCGAAGGGCATCTAAAATTGCACGCAACGGTTCTTCCTTGGATTTGTAGTTTTCTATGTTTTAAAGACGATACTATTTATGTTGGGCTATCAAACCGTGAGGCCGTGCGCACCCGTCCGTCGCGGTTCCACAGCTAAATTTAGCGGAGGAACTTGAATTGGCGTACAATTATACCAATTTAATTTAGGGAAGAATTGGCGCAACCACGGTATTGCGCTGAGCTCAGCACTGTGGACAAAAAGGAATTTACGTATTTCGTCTACACCATTTAGCAACGCTCTTCGGAACCCAAAATACAAAACCCCGCACTAACTAAAAAAAAAAAGAAAACGATCTACGAAAACTTTTAAGTGGCTTTGATGTCAGCGACACGTCGGCTGCCATGGCTACTCTCACGAACCACGTGTCCAGCGAGGGCACCAGCCTTTCATTTTGCCTCTCAACGATTTCTCCCTGTAGCTAAGAATACCGCCGCAACTTACGACTTCAGGTACTTGCGATCTGAGCGCGGTGAACTCGAGATTTCAATCTAAACACCCGTTGCCACACCCCGTTAATGGCTTCTTTTGTTCACCTTTCTGGGAAAGTTGAAAGGTCATTTACACCGAGTCAGAAAACACAAAAAAGCGGCCTTTATTATTAATATTGTTTTCTGCGTGTACATTTCGATAAGTGTGTGGCAATTCTTTTCCACTCAATTTGAAAGAAAAATGTCGTCTGCCTGACTGAGAAATGTTCCAAACTATACCTAGTACGTACGGATTATTCGGGATATTTGCTCTTATAATCGAGCGCGAGGCGGAAGTCAATTTGCCGCAGCACACAAGCACCACTTGAACCTCTAGCGTACATTATAATAACTCTATGGTCCGTACAAAGCGCCCGTCATGTCGCAAGATGCAGAACTGGGAATTTAACGCGCATCGTCTGAGTGCGAAACGCGGGCTTGTGAGTTCCAGGCTGCTGTGGTAGCTCTTTTTGGCAAATTACCCGAGCACCACAGTGAAGGCTGGGAACGTACGACCGAGTAAATACTTCGCTGCACTCGTCGAGCGCATTCGAATACGTGAGCCAAACTACGGAAGCCGGCGTTCCGCAATCTAGCGCGTTCGACGAGTGCACTGGAGACAAAGGCAGCTGGCTTCAGGTCTACCCACTAATCGATCCAATGAAAGCTCGGCGTTCGGACGTCCGGTCTCGTCTGCTGGGCTCGCTTAGTTTCTCGGCGCATTGACTCGCACCATGAAGTGCGATAAAGTGTAATTATTGTTATAATAATAATAATATTATTTTAATAATATTAATATTTAATTTAAAATTATTAGAAAATTAGAATATTTAATTTAATTTAAAATATTTTAATAGAGACATATAAATAATAACAATTATTATTATACATGTCTTTATTAAAAGGAGTTTGTCATCCCTTATCTACAGGTATCAAGAAGAGGGTAGGGAAGGGGGAATAAGGTGAAAGTAGAGTGGATAATTTAAAAATCTGTTCCCCCCCGCTGAGAAGTTGTTAGAGGTTGTGTTTACCTAGATTCTCAGTGCTCGTCCGGTGCAAACATCATTCAAGGCCACAGGCCCGTGCTTGTAGTGAACTAGCCAACCACCTAGAAGACAAGACTGTCGCATAAAGACAAGGGCGTTGAACTAGCTCCCCGATCAGCTGACACTTGGGTTGACCACGGCGGTCCCAGCCGTGCCCGGAGCACGTGGACTTCAGGGCCACGCAGTGCTCGGAGTTCGACCAGGTGCCCTACCGGGGACGCCTGTACGAGTGGACGCCTGTGCACGACGCCAGCGACCCGTGCAGCCTCACCTGCCAGGCCAGGGAGTTCAAGTTCATGGCCAAGCTGGCGCCCCGGGCCCAGGACGGCACGCGCTGTCGCCAGGGGGCCCTCGACATGTGCGTCCAGGGAAAGTGCCTGGTGAGTATAGGACACCTGGCTACCTGGCCAGGTTGCACCAGCTATGCGCCAGAACTGGCTCCTGCACGCGCGTTGATCTCGGCGCACAAATCTTTCACTGCGGTGCGTCGCCGACCGTGGTCACAAACGATCGTCTGGAAAACGGTTCCCTCGAAGGCCGCCAGGCCTAGCGTCGCAGATTGTGAAGCTGAACACAAAAGGGGCGATAAAATAAAACACGAACGTATTCACTGTGTGTTCTGATCAAGCAAGGTAACCCTACGTCCAAGTGCAGTGGATGGTACGAGTCATCTGAGCCAATCGAAGGCCGCGTGAGCGTCGCATGATTTGAGGGTTAAAGCGGAGGGGGGGGGGGGGGGGGGGGGGGGGGGGGCATTGGTGCAGAAAAGTGTTGGACGGTGTACTTCCGGCTGTATCTCAATACACGTACCGAAAGTGCACTGCCCTACACTTGTCTGCACCGGTGCGGGAGATGCAGGTAAGTCGAACGAAGCCATTATCACGTGCTACGATCACAGAGCGGGATTGGATAGAATGGCTCGTAGGTGTCCGCTGCGTCTGGACGTATGGTGAAACGGAGTGTACAGGGTACAGGTTTGCAAGTCCGGCCTCGGCGCGCCGCCATCTTACTCAGTTCGCAGTGCGCGGCAATAATCCGATTATGAAGTCTTGCTAATAACATCCTCGGTTATCCGCACCGGTGCGCCCCTTCGTCTTTGATCAAGTGCACAGTGCACCGGTGCGCACCGAACGTCCTCGATCAACGGAGTGCACCCTCCCGGTGCGGCTTTTCGTTGCCCCAACGCGCACCAAGAAAATCGACGGTGCGCCGGGGTGCAGTCCCATCAGGCATTGCGGCCAGGAGCGGGAATTGAGGAGGTGGCGGGAATACGCGCAGTCTACCGGGATTGCAGCCTTGTGAAAACGAACGCGCCTTGCAGCGGCACTCGATGAATTCCTCAGCTCTTCTGACAGCGAGAACCAGCTTCTTACCATCGCCGTGATTACCGGTGATTGCTGCGTTGGCAAGGAGCGCACGAAAGTTAATGACTTCGTGGAAATCGTTGCGAGGCGCTCCGATGACACCTAAGGTGCGGCTATTACTGTAAAACCCTTTGTCTTCGCGGCCCCTATTTCTCGCGAATCGGTCACAGAGGACATAGTCGCGTCCACTATATTTCGCGAATTAGACGCCTGCAATGACTCCACAGGTTTTTTGAGCTACCTAAACTAACGGTATTTTCTGACTCCCCGGCTTTTACCCTTTCCGGTATGCTATTTATTATCGCGAAATTCGTATTTGTTATTGAGAAATCAGCAAATGAAAATTATGCAAAAACCAACATTTAAATATACCCGCACTTCTCAGTGCCGTGACGTCAGTGGCCGGCAGCTTGCCAGTCGAGCAAGCAGTATAAAAAACATAATATGCCAATCATTTGTTCTGTGCTGGAGCGAGCTTCCAAAGTATTCGTTTGACACAATGAAACTGCTTCGAATCGGTTGGGAACAAATTCTACAGTCCAAGGAGTGAACCCCAGCCGTCCACTGACGTCACTTTTTCGTTGTTGCCAGTAGAGACTTTTAGTTTGAAAACCACGGCGAGGACCAGAAATGTAAATTCCATAACTTCGCGAAAAAACAATATTTTGACCTAATACTTGGGACACTATTTTAGCGATGTTTGTTGGTGACTTTAGCAAAATTTCAAGCGAATCGAAGACAGTGAAAAAACCTGTGGACCGAAAGTTTCGCGTGCCTCAAACCGATGATGGACAAAATATACCTCTCTAATCACGCGCTTCGTGACCCCCTCGATACGGTGGCTACCGTACCCTCGACTAACCCTCGACAATCGCGTCAACGACGTTTATTTGTGTGTAACCGCTAAATCCGCGAGTAAAAAAAAAAAAAAAAAAAAGAAATTGACAGCAGACGGGCACCGCGGGCGGACGTACGCAAGAAAAAAAAAAAAAAAAAACGAACAACATGCGGGATGACGCATGGTTAATTAAAGCATGGTGGCGGTAGCCGCGGTGCACCGACGTAGCGCAGTTTCATGTTTCATTACATCGTTACTTGTCCTCGATGCTGCACCGACTTCGCTCGCGCTGCACGACCGAGGAGCGCTGTGCGCTGCTCGGAAGTCGTAGCCATAGCCGTCACCTCTGTCGAAATGTAAACAATCCATCTGGTGTTGTTTAGAATATACCGGGTGTCTCAAATAGCGGCCAGGCTCTCTAATCGACCGCAAGAATCGGTTTCTTAACCTATGGTGCTACGATTTTGTGCAGCGTTGCCCACGGGTGGTGCATTTTTTCTATAAAATTTGCAAAGACCGAGTTTACCCGAGGAAAAAGTAAGAAAAGAAAAAGGCTTAACTCCTATGGAAACTGAACGAAGCCACCGGCCTTCAAACAATAGGGCGCCCGGGCGCCCTATTGTTTGAAGACCGGTGGCTTTGCTGCGTTTTCATAAGAGCTGAGCCTTTTTCTTTTCTTACTTTTTCCTCAGGCAAGTTTCCTCTTTGCAAATTTTATAGAAAAAGATGCACCACCTGTGGGCAACGCTGCAGAAAATCGTAGCACGATAGGTTCAGAAATCGATTTTTACGATCGATGTGAAGAGCCAGGCCGCTGTTTGAGACACCAGCTATTTTCAGTTTTTAAGGTTTTTAATACAAATCAAAACTTCACCCACGTAACTCTGAACCTTCGGCTGACAGATTTTTACCGGAATGACTTCCTTTTTGGAGATACCAGAACCAAAACTTTGAAGAAAAACCGGCAACTGCTGTCGCTATTTCAAAAAAAAAAAAAAAAAGAAGTTTTACTTTATGTTTGGGCGCAGCGGATGCTACGAGTTATTGGAGCCAATCCAAGGACGGGCGAGTGTCACATGACTTTGGAGAACGGGCACAGCAGCCCACGGAAAGCGCTTCACGATCTACGTTCAGAGAACGGGATTGGCTATACTCTGTTTCAACATCAGATCAGCAGATTCGTATGTGACTTCGTGGGCACCGAAGTGTTATGGAAGTTATAGCGAGTTCGTTTCACACGCACTGGCACCGTTCGAGTTCTCTCCCAGAATGCATCGCACTCACGGAGTGTTGCATGGAAAACTGGACTCAAACGAACTTGCCAAATGCACCGAGTGCAGAAGACTGATGCTGCCGCCATCTATGTTGTAGAAAAGGTACCGACTTGAAACCGAAACTAGCGCCTTTCTGTTCGGAGTGATGCGTGGGAATGCGAGAATGCAGTCGCTACCAACGTTTATCTACAAACGTTGGTCGCTGCAACCTCTAGTTTATAGTTTTGATGACTTCAAGCAGCTAGGCTGCCGTAGAGATAATTACAGACGGCGTAAATTTCCGCAACCAGCTGTCTACAAAGCAGCTGGTTGCGATCTTTCAATTCTTATAACCATTTACACTGAAGAAAACTGACGATGCTGTCCGAGCAGAAGCTCGATCCGTTTGAGCACGGTATTATGCGTGAACCGCTGAAAGGCTACGGCTTAAAACTAGCCTGTTGGAATATCCAGCAAAACTGGGACTTTCGATTTGGATCGTCATTATAGGTGGCCTTGGTGGGGGCGTCGAGAACGAGAGCTTCCTCGAACAAAATACGTAGGTAAATGTTAAACATGATGATGTTGCCCAATCCTCGGGTAAAGTCTCCATCTTTAGCTTTCTCTGATGCTTATTGGACAGCCAGAGGTTTCTGCTGGGGGAGTTTTGTCGACAAATGCTAAATTTTTCACCCGCACATGGATGGTGATGGACATCTCGGGGGCCGCGGTTGCGTTTGTTCTGAGCATTTCTTTACACACTGGTATATTTCAGCGTTTGTACGGCAACAGAGTGATTTAAAGGGATACTACAACGAAATTTCGGCGCTCATTTTTTGGTCTATATGTGTTCAAACGAGCAGTATCACATGGAACATACCAATATCTTGTTAAAAAAGTCTCGAAAAGGAATTTTAAAACGAATTGAACGATTAGCAAAGATCACCTGGTGGATGTCGCTAATGCCTCGTTTGTAATGCTCGTCTAGGAACCTTGACAGCTAGTGACGGAGGTTGTCTCGTCTCCGGCCACGACGAGAGAAGGGGGGAAGGAGGAACTCCCCTTTTTCCGAGAATCCCTTTTGTGTGTCGCAGAAGTCGCTATTGTCCCCCTAGAAGATTATAGAAGATTAACCCGTCACTCAAAATTCGTACAAAAGCAGCCGCTTCGGTGGCTGGAACGACTATAGGCCATCCTCTCGACGTCTGCCTCGCCGTAGCTTTGCTCGTCTTGAGACGACCTACGTCACGATTGCGTTGGATGTCACGTGCTCTAAGCTGGGCCTTCTCCGAGCGCTTGCCAGAGTGGGCCGTTTATAACGAAAAATACAGCCACCAGGATCAAAATACAAACGCGCGATTGTCATTTATGGATATTGTGGATCATATTCAACCTATTTTTGAACACGACGGGAATATTTTAAATTTCGTTGAAGTATCCCTTTAAAACCTGCAAATAAATCACGGGTTGTCAATTGCTTCCTTCGTGAAAAGCAGACGCTCACAATTGAAGCTCGCGTTTGATTTCGTTGCCCGCGGGACGCGATTTCTATCAGAAAATCGACTTCATTTTTTTTTTTTTTTTTTTTTTTTTTGCCGTTCGGTTCCGCGACACATTGTAGCAGACGAACATTCGTCGTCTGCTCCCGCTCCTCGCCGGCCCCACCGGAGCGAGGCATGACGGGATTGCATTTTGGCGAACTCCCGATTTTCTCGGTGCAGCGAGTGCATGCACGCGTGGGGTGTCAGCGCTGAAACGAACTCGGAAAGTGCAACCACTCGTGGAGTGCCGGCCGAAACGAACCCGTTCCACGCTGCGAGTGGGCACGCGTGGGCACGAGTGCCGTGAAACGAACTCGGTATAGAGCTCGCGCAGGGGGCGGAGCATCTACTGCTGATCTTATGTTGCAACATAGCTCGTAGTGTCCGCTGCGTCCGGACGTAAGGTGAAACGGAGTTGGCATTTCTGCGCAGTTTGACTTGTTTTCACTGTTTTTAGTAGTTTTGTTAGGGAACCCACTTTTGCTGCCTGTTGTCAAATTTTGGTTTCGATTTGTTTTGCCAAGCTTCTTCGGAATATACCTTTTGCCCATCGAGACTAGCCTCCGTCGAATGTTCCAGTTTTCAGCGGCTCTAACAGCTGTGAACTTCGATGTTACTTTTCAACAACACTCACTGCACGCATTATAAGGATTTACATAATTTCTCAGAGCAAAATATTTCTCACCCTGCACACGCATCCCACTGCATCAGTTCAGTGTTCTATAATGAACTCGTGCGCCTCTTCGGTTTTAATAATTTAATGTCTTCCTCCATATGACCGGGAATACTGGAAACTATCCAGTATTTTGGCGGTTTTGGGCGCATCTACGAGGTCCGGCTTGTCTCACTTGATGAAAAGTGCCTTTCTCTTCCGTCGCCTTGCGGAAGCCCGTCGGCTGTGACTTGGAGCTCGGCTCCTACCTCGAGGTGGACGAGTGCGGCATTTGTGGAGGCAACGGGACGTCCTGCCGAGCACCTGCCTTCACCTGGTCCGAGACGCCCTTCTCGGAGTGCTCGGTGACGTGTGGTGGGGGTGGGTACTCTTCTTTCGTTTTACTCTCGAGACCGTGCCTATTGCCAACAAATAGGCCTTTTGTAGAGAGCTGAGACCTAGCGTATGCATGCATTGTCGTATGGCGAGTAGGATAGCGAGAAGGCCACTGTGTATTTTGAGAACGCGCAATGAAAGAAGTTGAGCTATAAGTAGGGGTTCAAAGAACAAAGTGGTTTTAGAACAAAGTGACTTTAGAATAATAAAGGGCTTTCCGACACCGGATAGGCCGCACTGTATTCTAGGAAGAGGCTATGCGGCGTCGCAGACCTCTACGGTACCGGCCATCGGCCTTTCTGCGGCGTCGCGGCTGTCCTGAGCCGGAATAAATACTATTATTATTATTGTTATTATTATTATTATTATATTACTGTTCGTCAGGTGATTGGAGACCAGCCTCTAGTTTTTTGTCATAATACAAACCAGGGATAAGTATAAAGGCAGAAGTTGAAAAGGCAACCGAGAACCGTTAGAAAATACAGAACTTGGGCCACGAGTCAGCCAGCAAATAAGGTAAACCGCCATGGCATATCAATTCGATATTGTCACTTAATTTTTTTTTAAACGATTGTAATAAATATAAAAATGTATCTCGGCGTGCAAAAAGAAAAGAAAAAAATAAGACACTAAAATATTTTGGAGCAAACTGCTTATTTAAACCTTGAGCAAAGTTTAAGCTGTCTAAATATGTTACACAAAACATTGTTGTTTGAAACATCCTTATTTAGTAAGGAGATACGGTACGACCCAGCCGGCTGCAGGCTTTGCTGAGATTTTGTACAATGTAGCAATTAATTTCTGTTTGTGATATTTTACTGCATTGACACAATATAACCTTATAATGTTGGGGGACTCCAATGATTCCAACTTGGCCTGGCATTACTACAACCATTAAACCCCTCAAAATATGATTCCGTATGGGTAAGGGTAAACACATTATGTTTCCACATACGAGATTCCAGCCTACAAAACACATCTGCACATTGCAGGCTTCCAGGAGAGTCATCCTGTCTGCACGTCTTCGGACACTGGTTCTGAAGTAGACGACCGGTTGTGCAATGTCGACGAGAGGCCCGACTCTCGGGTCCGAAAGTGCAATGGCAATCCCTGTCCCCCTGGGTGAGCTGGTGATGCTACACTAATATTTTAGGGGTTTACGTCTTGTCTGTCAAATTAAGTCTCTGTTTCAGTTAGTGAACACACATATTTTAAATTTTGTTTCTTTTAACATACAAGTGAACGCCTATGAACACTCCTCTTCCTAGAATTCCATTAAATCAGTATGAAGTCTGAATGCAAATGGTTCAAAGTAGACATAGCGCCCGCAACCAAATTTTATTTATTTCCATATAGTAGTGGCTACTTAAGGGCAGAAAACCAGTCAGTACTGTAGTGGAAAAGGAATGCTAACACTCCAATGACAGCCTAAACCAAGCTCAGAAGCCCCATATGGCACCAAATAAGAGCTTTGGATCAATAGTATGACAAGATGATGCAAGTTCCTTGTACAATACTTGTAACGAGAAAGCCAAAGCTCTTTGATCGAAGATTCTTTGGTTTGAGACAACTTCATTAGCCTTACACAGATGCATTCAAGAGAAGTATCCAGCTTTTTAACATCTTTCAAATTTAATTGCCATCATGCTAAGGTTAGTTTCTGTCAACTACCTGGCTTTGCAGTTCCTACAGACTTATGCTAAACAAGACGTCTTGAAAAGCCGACCAACAGAATCCTCTTCTGCCAAGAAGAAAACCAGTTCCCAGTTTCCTTGTCTCCATTCCCTCTTGCACTCTTCTCTCCTCCTCTCCCCACAGGAGTGGGTCTCTGAGCTGCTCCCTGCAGAAAGGAGTAGGGTTCTCGAATGGAGAGAAATTGAAGGAGTTTTTCCTCCTTTCTTGCCGTTCGTCGGCCTTTAAAGACAGATTGACAAACTGTTTCTGGTAACCAGTGTTGGAAAGTACTTTAAGTACATTGTACTTAAAGTACTGCTTTAAGTAGGCTTTAAAAGCTTGTACTTTATGTAAACTACATACTCCGGGTATGTACTTGTATTTTATTTAAAGTAGTTTTTTTCTAGTATATTTCACGGAAAGTGCAACTCCAGACTTCAAAGTACATTCCCCGAATTTGATCTTAGAAGTTTGTATCACAATATGATGCTTTGTCCACAAATAAGTGCCTTATAAGTCTATTGTTAAACAGTTTGTCAGCAATAGTAAAACAACCACACTGTGGCTACTTGACTTAATGCAGTATTCGCCGCCGTTTCTTAGAGTGACTGATGCACCTCCAATTACTCCTAAAACAATGGATACCAATTAAAAAAAAATACTATAGGGAAATTAAAGTGCATTGTGAAAGATTGTGTAAAAAGTACTTGCACTTTACTCTGAAAGTACATAATATTTATAGTACTTTACTTCAAGTACATTATGCCCAGTGTACTTTGTACTTTACTTGAAGTATGTACCCTCTTATTTACTTTGTACTTCAAATATTTTTTAGATGTGTTTTACCCAACACTGCTGGCAAGTATAACTTGGCTTTGCAGTTTTCAGACTTCTGTAAAGCAAGACGTCTTTTAAGCAGGAGGACTCGCACATTTGTCCAAACTGCTCGCGCACTTTCCAGGTGGCAGATGGGCGCTTGGGGCGACTGCAGCGCCTCGTGCGGCGGCGGCCAGCAGGTGCGCAACGTATCGTGCGTGCGCCCCACGGTGCCCCCCGTTCCAGTGGCAGAGCACTTCTGCCCCGGCCAGCGACCCGCAACGTCTCAAAGCTGTAACCTCCACGACTGTTCCCGCTGGACGGAGGGCCAGTGGTCACAGGTAGCGCCCTGGGTGCCTAGACGCTTCTCTCTCTCTCCTTCCACTCATGTCCTCTCCTTTCCCACAGATCTACTCTACTTAGATGCACCAGGGCAACTAAAAATGGCAATGTCTTGCAGAAAATGTGATTTCATATTTTAGGGAGTTTTATCATCTCTTAATCTTCATATTTCATGTCTAAAATATTTAAAGAATGGAATTAATCAAATATGCATTTGAAGAAGAACTCACGGCGACCCAGAAAGGCATAAATATAAACAATTTTGCAAGTGCATGGTATTTCTTTTTACTGCAAAAATAAATTATGCATTGCCAAACGCTCATTATTTGCCCACATGCAGTGCCAGCGGTCTGAACCAGATATCTAAGTTTCATAACTAATTGTTATCTTAATAAAAAGTTATAAGTGCTTTTTTGAAATCTTTTATGGGAAAATAGCAGCCAATGGAGTTCTCGAATCCATGGAGTTGAATGGCGCCAGTTACCAAAAACAGACCCCATTTTTCCATTGAAATTTTCAAAAAATCTCTTGTGTAACCTTTGAATGAGATAATAATGGTTAGTTCTGAAAATATGGCATCTGGTCCAAACCGTTTGCATTACATTCGGGAGGAAACCAAGCATTCAACAACGCAAAGCTTATTTTCGCAATAAAAAAAAAAAAAAATTTGGGGAGGGGGGGGGGTTACGTTCCACATGAAACGGTCATATAAGATTATAGGAAGATGTCAGTTGCCGTACGTTCACGGCCAACGCTGTCGTTTCGACACTGCCGGGTACGCGCTAATGTCGCGGGCCGCTCCCGTTGAGCGTGAACGGTGCGTGGCGCTGTCGCAGTGCTCCGCGACGTGTGGCGTGGGCACGCAGACACGGGCGGTGGAGTGCCGTGACCTCCGCGGCCGCAAGAGCCACCTGTGCGACCCGAAGCGCAAGCCTCGATCCAAGCAACAGTGCTCCGCGGGAAACCCCTGCTTCTCCAAAGGTGCAGGCAGCATTCCCTACTCCCCTTGAAGAGGCCGCCACACCAATAAAAGAAAGCCATGCAAAAAAAAAAAAAAAATCAGTGCAAAATATTTTTGTTTGTTTGTTCAGAAGTCAATAATTTTAGAGCCAGACAAGCTCGAAGGCCAAACCCTAAAATGCTTTTTTTTTTTTTTTTTTTTCAGATTTATAAAGCAGCGTACATTAATTAGTTTGCCTACCACTTGCTGGGTATTTCCTACAAAATAAGTGGATTATGTTTTTTTTTTGTTTTTGTTTTTTCCCGACGACTAATCCTTACCTCTAAACAGACTTGCCCCTCAACAAGTAAAACAAGAGGATTATCTCTTGGTGATGAATAATACACTGAGATGGGCTTGCGACCGCAAGGGCCATTAGACCGAGAAATACCAAAACAAAAGATAATTTAAAAATCTGGTGATCTTTTTTGATAATGCACACCTTCATCGGGAGAAGTAGCGGTATTTTGTAAACAAATTAAATGAATAATGTTTTGGTGTGAAGTTACGAGTGACCAGAGTGACTCGTTTGCGTTTGCCCTTGTTTCCCCAAGATCATGCAATGAGAACCAGCTTCACATTTTAATTTTTTTCCCTTACGAACTGAAAGCCAACAAAAACTTCTCCAAAGGCACGCCAATCGGTTGTCATTCTCTTTCAGGTAAAGAGTATGGATCGCAAGAGGACGCACCGCCCCAGAGTTTCCCGCCCTTCAACATCTTCTCCAAACCACAAAACCAGTCACCGGGGTCGGAACCGAGGTAAATTGCAAGCTTCCATTTTTTTTCGCAGCATTCTTTGTAGAAGCAACTGAAAACCTGGTCTCTCTCAGATTTTAAAAAACACCACCGCAATAGTGAAGATTAATTAATTACTGTGTCCTGCATATCCTCAGTAGAAGCAGACTTCTGAATCCTTGCATTCTCTAAATTCCCACCATCTGATAGCGACTGAAAAAAATGAGGGCCATTCCAGATAGCAATTGCAGTAGACAAATATCTATGCAGACTCGCTCATTTAAATCAATACGCGAGTAGATCTTCGATAATATCTACAGGTCAATTACCACTGCAGAAAGTGGTGCACCGGTAAAGCCTCACTTCACTCACAAACAAATGTAACCATTAGTTGCAGTATTGTTAGCTTAATAGGTTACAACCAGTTCCTCCCTGGACATTTGCCCATCCACCTAAAAAATGCTTGCAACAGCTAAAACATTTCAAATCGGCATTTAACTTCAGTGAGCTGCCGTTTACCCATTTCTAAGCCAGCCCCCCGTCTTTCTCTCTCTCTCTCTCTCTTGTAAAGCTTCATCGTCGGAGACTGGGGATCCTGTAGCGTCACGTGCGGCGATGGAGTCCAGAAGCGCGCCGTGGAGTGCAAGATCTTCCTGGAGTTCTCTAGAACGATGGCGAAGCTTCCGGACAAGGAGTGCACAGGTTCGGGCAGCCCCACCACCCCTTTTTAGTTTGCCATCTGGAATTTCGCTCCAGCGGTTTGCATTTGTGTCCGAGTGCGTTCAAGTGTGTTGCTCTTCCTTGTGACCGTTTATGATCATCAACTAGCCCTGGAACATGCCCCACCTGCATACACGCACCAGTGTGGCAGTGTGTTCGAGCTACAAGCTTGGTTACGAGGAAGTGCGATGCACTGGAGCGCACTCGGACGCAAATGAGTGAAACAGCCTTTAGCCCACGGCTCGCCGACGCTCTCCCCCGTCGTTCAGGAATCCGACCGGCCGAACTGCAACGTTGCACGATGAGACCGTGCGCCATGGACCAGAACCGCGAGGCTCTGACAGAGGAGGAACCAACGGACCAAGGAGTCGTCACAACGTATTCGTGGAGGAGCGCCGGTTACACTCCGTGCACGGCGTCTTGCCTCGGAGGTTCGTCCGTGTCGTTGCCTAGCCGTCTGTAGTCGGGTGTTTCAAGAACGTGGCAATCCGAGCCAAAGCCGTTCTGGGAATTGGACATGCATCATAGCACGAAACGACCGAGAGCAATCAGGAAAAAAAACCAACATGAAAAAGAGTAATCGATACTGAGAGAACTGTTCAAAGTGTGGACGACCGTGAAAAGAAATTGCGATGTGTGACTAATAATTTTGGAATTCAAGGGAATCTCGTGCAGGCAGCTTTTCAAGCATTCATCCGGATATGCTGCAAACCCAAAAGAAGTTTGAAACACATTTTCTAGCGTTTTTTCTAAAAAAAAAAGTTATAAGAGTCTAGTTTTTATACCTATCAACGGTGGCTCATGGTTACCATAGTCTTTATCCCCACAAGTTAACTTGTGTTTTCCCGTTGAAACGTCAATGCTGTGCAGGTATTAGAGAGTCACTGGTCCACTGCGTTCGTAACGAAGACGGAGTTCCTGTCAGCTACATCCAGTGTGACATCAGAGACAAGCCTGAAACAATCACCCAGACCTGCAATAACCGGCCCTGTCCCCCTAGGCAAGCTCACAGCTCCCACTTCAGACTTTTTTGCAGAGAACAGGGAAATGCTGTGCAGTTAAAAGAGAATTACGGCCATTCATTGCAAAAAAAAAAGGTTACGAAAAGATGTCTCTGTGGCCCTCCAGCTGAACGTGCCATTGTGATCACACTAATACAGTCACCGACCGATTTTTTGGACGCCAGTAATTCAGACTTGTTAGATATTTCAGACCTAAAGGAGGAACCGTGACCTACCCAATAGAAATAGTGCATATTCACGACCGATGTTTCGGACAATTTGAAGGCTGAACACTTAATTGTTGGGACAAAATCGTCATGAGCGATCAGCGGCAAACACTACTGCGAAGTGGCCATTTTGAATTCTATGTTGACTGCACATGGACTGGCTCTGTTTGGGCACTGCTAAGTCCTTCCACTAGGTGGCGCTCTACATTTCTTTTACCAGCTGTGCTTCATTATCATTATTATTGTTGTTACCATTTTGCTTTGTTAATTTACCATTGCAGTTCTGGGCTTGCGCCTCATCTCGACCTCGTTTCGGTGAATTGTGTTTTCGGACTATGCTGGCTTGGACGTCATTGCCCATCCGTTTTTCCGCTGCCGCAATGTTTCGTTAAGAAGCGAGGGAAGTACTCGACCATAACGCTAAAAAAGAAGGCAGCGATTCTCAAGCTAATAGAAAGTTGCCAAACACAAACAGAGGCGTAACCTGAAACCAGGTACTATTTACTGGTTTTTTAAGCCCACTTACACGTAATAAAGGCAAGTTTTCTAATCTGCTGATTTTTCGGACTGCTCTATTATTCGGACGTTTTTTCAGTCTCTGCGAAGTCCGAAAAATCGGTCGGCAACAGTATTAGACAGTAATTAAATATGAGGTAGATACATAGAAAGGGGGGACGGACAACAAAGACTTCGTTGTCCGTCCCCCCTTTCTATGTATCTTCCTCATATTTAATTACTGTTACCAACACGCTCGTTTTGCACTTAAGTGTATTAGACAGCTTGCACAGGATTCACTAGACTTCGTCACTCATTTCCTTTTTCACATTCAATCGTACCATAGGCCCCTGTTGGCAGGAGTGAGCCTCCTGATGATATTCCAATTGAAAATAACCCTGAAAAGATTTACCCTCACCTACCCAAGTTCTCATTTATTGGCGGACGCATTACTGTAAACGACTTAAATTCAACAAGAACCCAATTTTCGCAGATTTTGAAACTCGATTAACATTGCAGAAAAGTAGATTCTGCAAAATTTCCCTATGGTAACGAGTACCTAGCAAACTGCTTCCAATTGCAATATTTTGTGCCCGCAAAATATTCCCAAATTCTAGACTTTGCAAAATTCGCAAAATATCGAGCCCGTGAAAAGAAAGTAATTTATAGTACCATAAACGTCTTTATTCTTGCGGGCTCGCTATATCGCGAATTTTGGGAAGGATGGCTCTCGGGAACATTTTGCGGGCATTTTGGGGGGTGACGCAAATTTAACGAGTGGGAGTGGTAGGCTGCGTGTTCATTGCCATAGAAAAATACATTCGTGCCATCCATTTTTTGCAATGATCTTCGAGTCCCACAACTCTCCAAAAATATGGATCCTCGCGTAAATAAAATCATCGAGAGTATTTCTTTGTGCGACCCTGCAGAATGCGTAACGCGGCCAATCGCAGGTGGAACACGTCCGACTTCACGGCGTGCAGCAAGCCATGTGGCGGTGGTTCCCAGACGCGCACCGTGCAGTGCGTGCACGAGGTGACCCGGGGTGTCGGAAACACCCTGGTGGTACCAGACACCCACTGCCCGCTGCCACGCCCGGCCGAACACCGCATGTGCAACATGGTTGACTGCGTCGCGCACTGGACTGCCGACAGGTGGGCCAAGGTAACGCCACCGCCTGAACACAGTGAAATGTTGCGGTTTACCGCAACATTACGGCAAGCTGCGGTTTATTGCAATTCGTCGTAATATTTTGAGAGATGACCGACCCCCAAAAGGTAACCCCTCCCCCCCATTTTTGGCATGATTTGCTATTTCTTATAAGAACACAGGAAGATAGCCTACATCTTGGAATGCGGAGTGCAAGTTCGTCTGCTTCTTTTGCAGGGGTTGTGCTGACGTCAGAACTTCGAGCTCTGATTGGCTCTGATTGAAGGATAGTGGGTAACCTTAACGCAGCTTGCTTTGAGGTCTATCCACTATCCTTCAATCAGAGCTTGGCATCATTCTGACGTCGCCCGATTCCTGCGCAAGAAGCAGACGACTTTCTGTCCGCATAGACCTTTTTGAAATGTCGGCCAAGCCACCTTGTCGAGAACCGATCCCGACGCTCTAAAAGTGGCGTTATGCGGTTTCTGAACACCAAGAAAAGCAAACGTCTTCGAAGGAGAAAGCGGGGAATTCATTCTAACCAGACAGCCCTTTTACACTGCCTTTGATTCGTGACGCCGAGGGTGCTCGATTCGGGCGAGCTTGTTCTCCTAGTGCTGCTGTTAGGGCACTGATATTTTAGCTTTTTAGACTGCCACTCGATGGCTCCAACTTTTGAAAAGGGTCTAGTGAAGTGGTACTCATGCCAATGGTGACCTCGGCTGAAATTGGGTTAGTTAGCTACAGTGGGAGATTAGTGAACATTGCTGACAGAGGAGAACAGTCCTCTATTCTTCGTCGTCGTCGTCGTCGTCGTCGTCGTCGCCGCCCGCCCCCCCCCCCCCCCCCCCCCCCCTACCAATGTGGTAACAAGTTTGGCAAATCACAAAATACCAAAATAACATTACTTCTCTTCCTTTTTTTTATTTCTTTTTATTGAACATTGAAAGTTAGTTTATTCTTGATTTTTCCCCTTTTGCTCTTAGGTGGGTTCTTTCTCGGTCTCTTCCCCACGATGCCCCAAAGGCATCTTGGGGAAGAGACCATTCAGGATTGGAACACTACTCTTTGCACTCTGGAGTCCGAAACAGATCCCCTATACCACGAAGGCAGTCACCTCAACTCTGAGCACACTATATTCCTTTTCACCATAACCTGGCAATCAGCGAAAGCTAAGGTCCCAGCGACTAATTGGAGCATCAGAGCAAGGTACGCGACCACATATCGTCGGAGCGCACTCTGCTTGCAGAGGGCTGTCACGTGCTTTGCTTCATCGCCGTTATGGGCTTGAAAAGGACGTAGCATTTGCTTTTTGCCAAGTCATACTGAAACATTGTATAATTGGGTGGCATCAGAGTCTGCTCTCAAAGAACACCTGCCGTTCCTTGACAGAGGCAGTTTGCAAGCTTGCAGACATTGTGCTAGAACTATAATTACAATTTGTACTGACAAAGCAAGCATACCCCATTGTAACGTGGCTAGCCAAGACGTCGACCGACACTAGTCGCGATGGTTCGGGCACCAGTGGGCACCAAACTATAACTCTGCCATCTCGGCGGTAGTGAGGCTACTACTGTCGTTACTGGAACGCCACACTAGAATACTGGGTACTGCTCTGGAGCAATGTGAGAACAAATACTGGAATAATGCGAGAGAAAAATTAGATAAACCGGCGAGTCAACATCGGGGCCAACGGTGTCACGCACTGTGCAGGGCAGTTCTTTTGGAGACACGGCCCATCTTTTGCACAACACAGACTCAAAAGACACTTTCTGTGTCAAAGGTTTAACGTAACCAAAAGGGAGCTTCGTCTACTCGCAGTATCCCGTCCGACCCAGCACACATAGTGCTTTGAATTGACGCGCATGCTGCTGTAGCAGTTAACATCGCAACAAAACCTAAAAGAGAACCAACAATAACCACTGTATTGCCATTTGAAAATTTCCAGGAATTTTATGTGCCTAGTTGCGACTGCGCAGTGCTCCAAGAGCTGTGACGGCGGGGTGAAGACGCGCAAGATTCACTGTCAACGGGAACTGGCCTACGGAACGCTGGCGGACCTGCCGCCGTCAAAGTGTGCCTCGAAGAGAAAGCCCCGTACTGTGAAGCCCTGCAACACCAAGCCCTGCCGCAGGGGAAACCCCAGTTCAGTGCAGGGCGGACCTAAGCGAAAGGTGAACAATGTACACTTAATCAGTTTGCCAGCACTAGTGGTACGATTTCAAGATCAACCTGGTGGTACAAAACTCTTAACAACGATTTTTCCTTCCCGGCCGAAAGCTTTGCGTTGAGTTTGCCCCCCAATCTTTTTCTGGTTCACCATCGTTTTACCTTATCTCATTGATTCCCCGAAAAGCTGACAAATAAATCCTTTCAAAAGCGGATGCACAACCCATCTTCTGCAAAGCAGGGGATCTCGAAAGAGGGGGACGATGTGAGAGAGAAGGAAACAAGCAAGAATGTAACGAGCAAAGTGTACCTTGCCTTTTCAATTGCGCCTCGCACAAAATTGTGTCCCAAACCTAACGCTCCTTCTGCTCGCTGCGTTTTACAAGAACTAAGGTACATATTCATCGCATTGCTACTAGATGCGGTGTCTCAAGCCTCCATATTATGTGCTCTCCCGAGGTGCTAGTACCATAATTATTGAGTAAATAATAGTTTTCTAACTTCTGTGTCGCTCCCTTCGCTCCTATTTGCAAGGTGTCCCTGATAGCCGAAGGAAAGGCTTCCGTCTTCCGAGGAACGACGCTCAAAATACGCTGCCCAGGTGTTGTCGCCAACACTTCGTCTGACACAAGGTTAGAGGCCCTTTGAATCCAATGTGTGCATGTAAAAAATAGAATAGATGCAATGCGACATTTGCGACGTGACGACATAAACAACAAAGAACGATTACAGAAGGGCACAACCGGTCAACATCCTCATAAAATGAAACTGCGACTTCCGTCCAAAGACAACTTTTATCGATGCCGATCCAGATGTAATTGAACTTTCCCGTTTCACACCACCAAGAAAAGATATGGCATGTGCCTAGACCGAGCACTAAATAATGCGTAATATTGCTGATGCTTCCTCATGTTGTGCCAATGAATAGGTGAATAGCCGAGCACTGAATCGTCACTAGGAATGGCACAGATGTGACGCTGCCTTGAACATAACAGCACTGAAACAGTGCTGAGTCAGCACTGTCTTAGCACTGTGCACTAGCACTATAGTGCAAAGTCGGAGCACTGAACTTGCACTACTATAGTGCAAGGTCAGTGCCATTTCCAGCACCGACTATAGCCTGTTGCGAGTTACGTAAAGCAGGACAAGTGCCTCCCACAAAGCTCTCCGCTCTTTCCACTTTAACAGAACAAACGCTAGAGCACTAAACCACCGACTGCGACGGGAAGAGAGCTCTGTGAGAGTGGCTTGTCTTGCGTTTCTTAAACCGCAACAGGCTATAAATGTGCCGAGTTAGGAGCACGCTGTACGTGCAAACGGCACTCGGGCTGAACAAATCCAAGTGGGCAGCAAACCCCACGTTTCGTTTCCGCAGCAGTCGTGCCAAGTGGCTCAAGGACGGCCTCCCCGTCAAGACCTCCTCGAGACGGGTGGTCGTGTCGCGAAAGGGAGGCCTGCGGATCAGGAAGGCGGACTTCCCAGACGCTGGCACCTACGTCTGCTCCACGGGAACCTCCAAGAGCGAGCTCGTGCTTTCCATCCGACCGCTCTCCTCGCCACCTCCCGACACTTCACAAGGACTTCCCTTTGACGTGCTCAAGGGACAGAAAGGTATGGCGGTGCAAGCATTACAGTGATGATGGCAATTTACTTGGAGGTTGCGCTTAGGGCCCCTAAATGAGCTTCGCTAAAATGTCAACACTTCATTTCCTGAATGTTTTCGAAGCGCCGCCATGTTGTTGTCTAGTGCAGACTGAGTGCAAATAGAGATAGTTATGGTTACAAAATATGACACCCCGGGCTTCAGATACGTTGTCAACAAGCTCAAAGGACGTGGTTTTGCTGTATATTAAACTGTTTTAACCACGGTGATGGAAATACTTCAGGTGGCATAACACTGCACCTCCTCTGCCGAAGAGCCGTGTCGAAAATTGGCACGGCCTCCTGAACCTCCGGGTTAGTGGCGTACCCTGGTGACAGGGTGCGTCACCAACCCAAAGGCCGAGGAGGTTGTCCTTTCATCAGCGGTAGTGCGTGCCATGCTACAACCTCACATTGTTTTATGCAGCTTTCGCGTGGTTCTCGCATTGTTTCTAGTCGGTTTCGGCTTCCAGAAGTTGCCGGTAATGGGGTTAGAAGTGCTTCGTGCCACAGTGCAATGCAGGGTATGAGACGTGCACGGAGGAGCTCTCCCTTTTTGTTACTCGACAGGGAAGAGGACCGCCTAAAGATATCATCACGCAATCCCGCGCAAAGACCGCTTGCTGCAGCCGACAGACTTTGTCTACGAGAGACATTTCGAGTCAGAGTTTGTGACCAAATAATAAGAAGCTGTCTACAGGAACCACGTTCTTGTAAGTGTGCTACGGAAAACCGCTCTGGCGAAAGAACGAAGTTTCTAAACTGCCCCAGCTGTCTGACAAAAAAAAATGAAAAACTGACTGCACTGCTAAACGCAATGAAATGCGGTAGCTTCACAGGAACACTGTTAGTGAAAAGAATAAAGGCCCGTTCACACTCTTGCAACCGAGTGCGACCGAGAGAGACCAAACTGGTTTTTAAGCCTCTTGCGATCTCTTAGGACCAGCTCCGCTCAGTGCATCCGGTCCCAAGAAGTCTTTCTCGGTCGTACTCGGTTGCAAGAGTGTGAACGCGCCTTTAGGCAAGGAAATGGTATGGTGATGAAACGGTTATGCACACATACACACCTCAAGGACGGCGTCTAGGACGACGTCAAGAACAATGTCTAGTACGACCTCTAAAACAACTTCAAGGACAACCTCTAGGACGACAGGTCGCGTCACGTCAACAATCGGCTTTTTGCGACCGGCATTTCTGAGCTTACTTGACCGGAGCTTATGCTCCATCCACGGGCGTTACATGACCTCATAACGCGATTTTTGCTTCAGCCACAGGCATTACATGGCCTTGATAATGCGACCTTGAGCATTGTTGAACCCATAAAGCTACTGCTTTAAAAGGACCTGCAGACTGTCAGTGCCTTCCACCCAGCAAATGGCACCGTGCTCTGGCAATGTCAACTGTATTGACCAAATCTATGGTTACACAGTTTTTGAGTGTAATTCAGAGTCACCCTGAACATGCGCCTTATAGAGCCCAAGGACCTGTCATATCACTTTTAAAATTTCTCATCAATGTCAGCATTTTTGATACTGTGCATGCAATCCACCATTCAACCTGGCCGAGCTGCAGAAATCTCTTACAATATTACCATTCTCGTGATTGTTGTTTTAGCAGGAATTGCTTAAAAAGCCAAGAATTCACAATAACAAAAACCAGGATTTAGCTCGGAGTCAGCGGGGAGGTTTTTAGCATTCTTAGCGCTTCTAACTTAATACCAGCATCTTTCAAGCTGCATGAGAATGATAATAATCTAAGAGATTTCTACAGCTCATCCTGGTAGAGGGGCGGACAGCATGCACAGTATCAAAAACGCTGACATTGACGAGAAATTTTAAAAGTGATATCTGGTCCTTCGGCACTATACAACGCTTGTTCAAGGCGACTCCGAATTACACCCAAAGCTGTGTAACCATGGAATTGGTCGAAATTACCACTCACTAGGGAGCTGAAGGAACACCATTCCCATGATTCCTCGAGTGCAGACCGGGGCGCTTAGGGGATTTAGCAAATGGTCTATTCTCCAAATATTGAGCCAGTGAAAATAAAGTAGCTTACAGAATGTGTGATTGTGCTCCATAAACATATACTATATTTTTTAATGGGTAGGCCAATAACGTGACTTTCACCTTTTATCTTTTTCTTTTCTATAAAAGCCGATAGTGCGCTTAAATCTGAAGGCCTGCTGTGTATACACTTCAATGTTTACCATTTCACAGCTCAGCACATACATGTTTCTTGCTTCAGGAAGAAAGGATGCGCTATTTGCACAAACGCTAAATATGACATCGGCCAAAAGCCCTTGATGTATGTTCAGTGCATGTGCTACCCATGTGGTTATGTTTTAATTTTCATAGTGCATAGAAGGTAAGTATCCTCACTCTGGATTGTGGAAAAATTCCACCAGGCGGCGATACTCAAACTTCTCGCTGTGAATATAACGCCACAAATATCCCCCGCCACCTAAAAACTGTTGTATTAAACTTTCACAGCTTAGCACGTGCAATGCTTTGCTTCACTTTCTAAGCGTTTCACTCTGCACATAGCAGATGGACATCGTCGGCCTCGACGACCTTGGCGCCATCCGGTGGCGCGCACGAGTAACAGGAATGAAAATTTGACGCCTCCGTAGACTGCATTAGTTCACCTCAGTCTTCCTACACCATGGTTTTAACACTTCTGAAGGATGGAAAAGATTTCTAGTGATTTCAGATGAAGCTGCAGATAACTGAAAACATTGATATTAATTAGGCATCGCAATGGCCGAAGTACAGCTTATCTAGTCTCTAATAAGTAAAACTCTCCAAAGTGTTTGTTTGATTCCCCATGCCTTCAAAGTGGTCTCCTTATTTTTCCAGTAAACTGAGCCTCCACTACGTGGAACAATTGTGCTTGGTCCCTTAAAGGCCGACGTACACTTTGCGCTTTGCACTTTTGCCCGCTCCCCCTTCCCGTATCCTCTCCACGTTTTACCTTTCCCCAACCTGGCTTCCCCTTGCAGCTTAGGAGAGGGGAGTGCAAAGAGGATTATCTTCCCTGCAGAAAACCGAAGTTGTACGTCGGCCTTTAAAGCTGCACCTGCGGCAGCAGCATCCGCCCCATTGTGGTGCACATGTTGGTTTGGACAAAGGGAAAAGCTTCTGACCGTCACCGACTTAAAGTATCACTGTTCCTTTACTGCGAAACATTTGTCTATGATTGCATAATGCTTGTGAGCTCTGGTGATTGGCAAAAATTTAAAGGTGTCCAAGGCTTAAACAAAACAAGAAACAAATGTGAAAATTCTAAGATGCAAACTTGAGCAAACGTGACATGGTTCCGGAGGTCTTGGGTACAACCAATTAAAGGCCAAAAAGGAGAGATTCTTTAGAAAGGATAATGGCACGTTACATCTCAAGAAATAGATGACTAGGGTTCTTCGCTCATTTGAAAGTTTGTCAACAGCAGACGGTGCTACTTTTGCTTCGAAAGGTCACCACCCCAACGGAGTTGGCTTGAAGCCAGCCAAAGGAGCTGATCTGCCGTCGTACATCAACAGTGTCGAAGACGTGCAGACGAACAAGGAACAAACTCTCTCCCAGGACACAAAGGTGTTGTCTAAAACCTTCTATTTTGAAAATCCATACCTAAAGACGCTTTGTACATGTGCCAGATTACAGCCGCCATTGCTGACCTTCTCGTTTTACTGAGATACCAAGCGGCCTTTGACGAGCCTCCAGAAGGGCCAATGCCAGGGAGAAGGACACAGTCAAATCTAAAATGAGAATAACCTGTGCTGCTGAGGTAATGATGGACCGAAGTGATCAAAATAAGAGGAAACAAAAACTGAAAGTCGCAGTTATGGCAGTACCCATGCACAGCTGCTGCAAAGAGTCTATATGACATAGAGGTGTCGCTTGTTTAAGGTTACTATGCAAAACAAGCTAACAAACTCTCTATTTGTCTGTGAACCAGAACCAAACAGAAACATGATACTTTTTTTTTTTTTTTTCAAGGTAAAACTGAAAAATAATCCTTGCAGTATTCAGCTTAAGGTGAAAAATAAGGCATGTGAAATGTATGTCCCAAAAAGCAGAGTAATGTATTACTATATTTTTTTTTAATTTTTAAGTTTTCAGGTAACCATTTTAAGTCTTGGGAACTCAGCTGAATGACCGTAAAACTTAACAGTCTTTGGCAGCCTTCATCCATGGTTTAGCTTATGAAAACCTCCCTCTGTTTGGGACAAGAAAACTTGTGCACTCATACTCGAGTCAGCTGTCACATTGCGATACCCAAGTCCTGAAGTGCGTAACCTACCTAGCCCAAAAGACACTGTTCTCATTCCAAACAATTTACTAATGATATTTAACATTGATATTTAACATCTTGATGAAAATAAACATAGTTTCTTTTCTAATGCCTTTAACTTTTTTTTTAAACAATTCGAACCAGAGTGAATCACTATTTTTTTTACTTTGGAGCTTTCCCTGAAGTGAAACACAAACCGGAACCAAAAACATTCGGGTCCGACGCTCCAACGCAAAATCTTCAATAACTCCTAGATCTGACGCAATTTATAATGTTAACCTTTCAGCTGGACCGAGCAACCTCCTCCGACGTGGACCAAACCGCCTTCAAGGTGGACCTCGCTTCGGACCAAGAACGCAACGATCAAGGACTCCGAGAGGTGAAGGGGACCCTCGAAGATCCGACAGTCAACTCGGGTGCATCTAGTCGGCCCGGTGGAAACATTCCGCGCATCCAGACACTGCTGTCGGACTTTCACCGGCGGCTCGGCGGCAGTAGTGGTGGCAGAGACAGCGGCAAGTCTCGACAATTTTACTCGCTTTTGTCATTGTGAAAATGGCTGAAAGATGACTGGCAACTTCTTTTCAGTATGCAGACATAACTTATTTCACCCTAATTTCCAGCCTGTTTGCACTTTCTCTGCAAGCAGAATCGAGATGATGATTGAAGCAATGCAAGAGAGAATTTTCGGCAGCCTTGGCAAACATCTTGCGTCGATTGTATTGGAGGTGCAAAACAGTTCTTTAAAACTCTTCGTTATCGCTAAGGAAACCGACAGCTGATTCTCCAGATTGCCACGGTTATTTCGGTTATTTACGCTGTCTCACTTATAAAACTTACGATGAGGTTAATGCCCTTCATCCTCAGATTCATAACTAAAAATGCATTACCGTAGAATCCCATAAGAACGCCCACCCAAAATGGAGAGATGAATGGTGAGACTTGAGGTAGGCTACCCTCAAAGATGAGACAGCAAAACCTCATAAAAAATAATGATAAACAACGGGCCACCCGCTACAGACCACATGACATGGGAACTGGTACCGCAGATCACGGACACAGCAAATTTGCATTTCACGCCGCGATAAACACATGGAAATTTGCTACTAACTCCTGTGTCACGGGAAAGGATATACAGTCGAACCGCGATAGAAGGAAATAAATAAATAGACTCTGCAAAACAACTTCGCAAAAAAATTGTGGTTAAAAAAAAAATTATGCGCAAACGCGAGCGCTTGATAGGTTACTTCACGGGGACAGGCCTTCCAACGTTCCTAGGCTGCCCGAGGATGCGGCGCCGGTAGCGCCGGCGAGGCGTGCGGCAAAGCGGATTCCGCGGGGCTGGCCAGAAAATGGCGAGCAAAAAGTTAACACGGCATAACAGCATCACCACTGACTTTCACTGATCATCATAGTCCACTGTACCGCGGGTAGCGCGGGAGCCAACTTCAGCGGGGAAGCGACGTGATGGCGCGACCGCACGGGCAGTGCCATCTAGGAGAAGACCGAAAAGACCGATTATCGTCTTGCGAGCGTGATGTAAAGCAAAGGCGCAAGCGCACTGTGGGCGCAAAGGGGCAAGTAAACTGTGCGGTCAAGAGTGCTGTGTAGGTTGGAAACATTGGCACCGCCTAAACCAATCAGTGGCCTAAACTAAACAGCCTTATCAGCTTTATTTTTCAACCGGGCGGTTCACTCACGTCAGAGCCGTAAATGACTCACGTGCTTGCTGCCATAAGGAAACGTAAAGTTCTTTCTTTAGATGAGAAAGCAAACGTTTTGGACGCCATCCTGAAGAAACTGCCGAGATCACGAGCACTCGGGAAGTGCTCGACGCAATGGACGTACTGAGGAGGTACACGGCGTCGCATGGGCAGCAAGATGCCGTGTAAGCGCTCTGGGCGCTCGAACGCCGTATGACGCCGCTGCTACTGTCGAACAAGGCGCAAGCAAAACTCGCGGACTACTTTGCCCCTAAATAAATGTCATTTTCGGTGAGTTTTCATACCCGTAAAATGTTTCGGAATTTTTTTTTTGCATGCTAAAGCCAAATTTCGATTTAGCGAAATTTCAATGTAACGAAGTAAACTGCGAATTTTACCGACTTCGTTACATCGAGGTTTAACTGTATCGCAGATAGCAGACACAGCAGATTCGCGTTTCACGGTGCTATGAACACGCAGAAGCCTGCTACAAACTCGTTTGGCACGGGAAGCGATATTGCACGCACAGATCGCGGACGAAAAATGCGGGAACCTGCTATGAACTCGCATGTCAAGGGAACGAGTGTCACAAGAATTGATATCACAGGCGCAGATCACAGACAAAAACATGAAGCTGCTACAAACTCGCTTGTCCCATGTACCAGTACCAAAGATCACGCTGTTGATGTGATGCAGGGTGTTCATACGGGATTTAATGGTAGGTGAATGTTGCCCGCACTGTTCATACTTGTTTGCCCATTTATCCGAAAAGTATGGATTGAAAAGTGCTTTCAAAAACATCACTATAGCATAGCACCGCAAAACCAGAACCGTCGTCATGTTCTAACCTTGTGCTTGCTCCCCATAACAGCACAAGCAGATAAACAAGAATCCTTTATACACGACCTTATGCGTGACATGTGTGTTCTTCTGCCCCTAAAATTTTTACATCTCCGTTTACCGGAGGCACGTTTATCAATGCTTTGTCGTCATGACCAAAAACCCAAAGGTTCTCATTAAAGGGAAGCTGAAGAGGTTTGTGAAAAAAAAAATGAGTAAGAGGTGAATTCTAAACTATTTTTATCATGTCAATCTCAATTCACATTCGTTTTAACTAAACGCAAGAAGACATGAAAAACCTCCGACCAGTCGTTATGTCATACCCAGACCTTTCGGTCGCCAAGCGCGTGTCGCTCTTGTGGGCAGAGCTTGCAATTGCCAGCTTTCCACGTATATTCCCCCGCACCGACATCGGTCATGACATCTTTTTATGAACTTTTTGAAAATAGCAAGAGTGCACATGCATAGATTTGATACGCACTGAAGATGCGCTAGAGCGGAGATTCCGAAAATTCTGGATACGTCACGCTTTGGGAAGGAGGGGCTTCAGCGGTACTTTAAAAATAATTTTCTAAAGTTTCTACGCACCAAATGGAAAAATAATCTCAGTATTCAAGATCCTGGAGGCCAAATGAAGACGATTTAGGTGTTCTTTTTCTCAAATACAAAACCGCTTCAGTTTCCCTTTAATATGGATACCCTGCTACTACACACATATCTCGTTAATATGAACCACGTTAATTTGAATAAACCACTATGTAGAAAAAAATTTCGGGAACAAACCGAGTAAATAAAAGCATTTTTGTCTTGTCAGCATGGACAACTCATATTATGCGCTATTTTTGGGGGAAAGGAGGTGTCCATATTATCGAGACAAGACCATATGTGGATTAAGTCAAAGCATCAGCCTAGATACCCAGGTGGCAGGTCCAAATTGCGGCCGAACTGCCCGCATACTGATGGAGGCTTACTGCAGGAAAAAAGTGACCGCATCTCTACGTGGTGAATGATGTTGATTCGGGCGAAGCTCTGGTGGGTGCTGATGATATTGATTTTGTTCATAGGTAGTGCTGATGGTGCTTCGACTTCATTAATACTGCTTTATGATCGGTGAAATGCAGAGCCAGTGGTTCTAGCCGAGCTTTTCGTTCGTTTTCATCCATGTCAGAAAGAGAATGTGTGGTATGGAACGTGGTTATATACGCATTTGAGCATTTGACCGCAGCGCCCTCTTGTCTATAAACAATGAGCCAATGCATGCAAAGTTTAACGCGATTATATATGCGTTTGACCGCAGCACCCTCTCCTGTATAGACATTGAGCGGCTACATGCAACGTTTCATCCATGACATCCCCAGCTTTGGAGTTACTAGCACATCTCAGAGCCCCCTACTCGTCCCGCAGTCGTGGCCGAGTGGTTAAGGCGATGGACTAGAAATCCATTGGGGTCTCCCCGCACAGGTCTGAATCCTGTCGACTGCGCAAACATTTTTTCTTTTTTTAAGAAGACAGATGGGATGGCAATCGATGTAAGCACGGACGCCGGACGTACAAGGATAGACCCTAAGGAGCTTCGCCCCTAAAAGAAACTAAGTTTTCGGTTGCACGTCAAAAGATCCTCCCCAACGGTTAAATTAATTCTCAGTCCTCCGATAGGGGCGTGCCAGGTGCCTTTAGTTGGACAGGGGGGAACAGCGTACCCGCAAAACAGTCACTTGAGTCAACACACATACAAAAGAAAGAGACACTTACACAGCGCTGTGTAAGTGTCTCTTTGTTTTGTATATGTGTTGACTCGAGTGACTGTTTTGCGGGTGCGCTGTTTCCCCCTCCAGGTCATGAGCAACCAACTTGCCCGAACCTCTGTGTTAACAAGTGCCGTTAGTTAGTTTGGCATGTAAAAGGCCCGGTGTTGACATATGAACCGATTTGCAGCGGTCAGGGGCACTGTCGAACTCCCGCCCGACGACGAGGACCAGCTGGGCGTGCCCAACAGCTACGTTCTCGGGCGTGGGAATGCAGACAACCTCCAGTTCGAGTGGTCCACGACTCCCTGGTCCGCCTGCTCACAAACGTGCGGAGGCAGCGGACTCCAGGTAGGTCGTGCAGAGAGCCACTTCGGGACGTTTTTGTCGCTTTGCGACGACCGTGACGGCAGACAGTGACGACAATCTGTACTTTGTGACGAAAATCTGGCAGGCCAACAAGGGAAATGGAGCTACTTTCGGGTACGAATGAAATGCGAACTACACCACATAAGTTCAAAACGGTCCATCTATATTCGTTTTAGATTTTCTGTGGTACCTCTCTTTTATATCTGCAAACTCTTAATTCGCTCAGGTCGACTGTTACGAAATGCATTGCAAGGATTATTCTGTCTGTCTGTATTCCAAGCAAAGCTGTGGGAGGGATATCTCCAGCTCTAGGAACAATGAGGCCACAGTGACTTCTGTCCTCACAGCGTTTGGAGGTCAAGCGGATGTTCGCTTTAATTTTTGCGGAAATCGCCGATTTTAATTAGAGTTTCTGAGTCATAAGAGAGGCGTTGCGACTTGTCATTGGAAGTGTCAGAGCACACATCACTTTCAAATAAAAATTTCTGTATTTCTTCACCAGCTATGCGAACCTCCATGACGAGGCTATGACGCCTTTCGTTGTGCTTGCAGATGTCAATACGTTTTTCCTGGGACAATGGAACCTTTTTTCAGTGGAAATATAAGACAAGCAACCAAATAACCCGAGGGGGGTGGAGCATTAGTGGTAGTGCCGCCATCCGCCAGAGTGCGCACAAAACAAGCTCTGAAACCGAAAAAAACAAGCCAGACTTACAGTTGGGTCTGTAATGGATGGCACAAGTGATGACGTTAGTTGCCGAGGGGTTATAATGACAGAGATCGGACATAATTTTTAACTACAGTCATTTCCGTAGGCCTTTCTAGACTAGCACAGCTAGGTGATCCGAGAAATCGCTTCCCGCAGTCTTTTCTCCCTCTCGATTGCCGTCCACCGTACCCGCCTGGCGCAGTTTGCCGACCTCGCGCTTTGCTTGCATTCCAACGCAGGTGCGTTCCACACAGTGCATGGTGCGGCTCCACAACGTCTCTCGAACCGTGGACAGCACGCTGTGTGCCGGTCTCGAAGCCCCCCAGATCCTGCAGCGCTGCGGTTCGGCAGGGTGCCCACTCTGGGTCACCGGAAGCTGGTCCCAGGTCAGTCATCTCTCTAAAGCAAATGCAGAAAGAGCTCGTAAGAAGTGACTGCCTCAATATTACGGGGTAAGCGAGGTAATCTCATTAACCTAACAATATTTTAAACTAGGGGTTTTTAAGCTGGGTTCGTCTGGCCACTCCTGCACTAGACTATGGTGTCGAGACACTATCGCACTAATCCTTCATTACAAAGTCGCATATCTGCTGCAAGAGACAAAGGGTCAAACCAAAACTAGGAGAAGAATGTGTTGTTCATGACTGCGGAAGTCGCATTTTTCTATGTTTTGGAGGTCATGAAAATTATGTTTTTAAGGACTTCATATTTTTAGTAACGAAACACGTCTAGGATGTTTCCGAGTACTGCGCCATCATTGCACAAAACCGAGAAAAAGAAAATGTACAGCGCTAAGCAGCCGATTTTTGCGCCGCAAAAAAGAATTATTTTCCTGCGGCAAGCATATTTCCCCAATAGTTGCGTTTAGGCGAATATTTAGGCACGTACAAAAGCCTTTTCAGAAGTCGTCCGGGCGTCGAGCAATGACGAGTCTTGGCTCTTCCGCTTCCTCGGCGCTGCAGTGTTCCGACGGCCGCTGCTTCACGCTGAGCACGTCGGTGCAAGAGCGCCTGGTGGAGTGCCGGCTTCCCGACGGCACCCCAGTCGACGAGAAGTTGTGCGACGCCTCGACGCGCCCGCAGGACCAGCAGGAGTGCCTCAGCGAGCGCTGCCGCGGCGTCTGGAAGGTTGGAGACTGGTCAGAGGTCGGCACCTTTCCCTGCACCGCCGCTGTCCCGCCGGACACCTAGGCCACGGTGTACGATGTATATATGGGTGTGGACACCACGCACATTGCAGCTGCCGGATTAAATCCTCTTCTCGCCCCGGTTGCAAGCGGCGCCACCACTTTGCTAAGCAGCTAGTGGTATCCTGGCGCAGACCCGGTTTGCCTCCCTTTTCTATGGGAGACACACTTGTTTTTAAAGTCGTTTTCTGCTTGCGTTGTGTCGTGTAGGATTTCATACTTGCGCTATGTACGTTGCTTACACGCAGCTTCGTCATCAATGACCCTTGTTTCGTGCCTTAACGGCGGCAAGAACAGTTTTATGAATGCGTCAAAGCGGAGAGACCTGTGGCATTGTGTTCAAGCCACCATCTGTCGAGGTCCGAGCGGATGTGCCAAGCAAAAAACGCATGCGCTCGATTTTCATGGCAACGAGGCACTTTTTTTGTTTGTTTTAGATTCTTTCTTCCCTCGGTCGCACCGTCTGGCCAGCAGAGACGCTGTCGGCATAGGCTACTCGGGCGCGCGCCCACGGGACTTTATCCAGTCGGCCGCGTCACAGCGTTCGTCGTGCTGCGTGTCCTCACCTGAAGAGTATCTTACACCGTGGCCTAGGTCAACTCCTCCCGATGACAGGGCTGCAAGCCCTGGACTTTCCATGTCCAGCTTGGGCCACACATTGGACACGATCGCTGCGTTAGTGTTTGGCTGGGACCCGCATTCAGACGGCAAGGCGGGAGTCCCGGTCAAACCCCGACTTGGCAGATACATCCAATCCATGTGCCACGCTGGCTTCCAGTAGGTGATATAGAAAATACAGGGCTGCTGCCTCGTTATCTAAGAGGCGTTGGCCTAGTGGAGGTCGCAGACTGGGCGCAAGTACTCTGTCAACATGCAACTGGGACTCGTATCAAAAAAGTTCTGACACGAAACCAAATGATGATACAGCACTCGTATTCAATCTGCACCTCACACTGGCCTCCGGTAGGCGACGTAGAATATCCGCGGCACCACAGCTTTATCTCAAGGTTGGCTCGCACGTTTGCGACACACTACGACCGACTGCAATACAACCGGTTTTTAGACCGCTTGTCACTGCTTATGATGGGCCGCGCACCAGCGATGGCAGTTGTGAGCGGCTTAAACACCGGTTGTGTCAGTCGGTTGCAAAGGTCTGAACCATCCTCAACAAGTGTTGGGCAAGCCACAGGAAGTGTCGCTTGCTTGCAAACGGTCGTGCCCACTTAAAGGGATACTGAACCGAAATTTGGATTTCGCAAAGTAAGGCTGTAGAAGTGTTGAACAGGACGCTACAAACTCCAAAACATCACTCGTACATCGATATCTCAAACGGATGGCCGTACTTTTAGAAAAGAAGGGCGCGATCAGGCGAGTTCTTTGACGTAACTGTCCTCTGGGAGAATTTGAGAGTGAGGAGAAGCGGCCTCGCTTCTCTCCTCCTTGCTTCGGTTCACCAGCTTGACGGGACGTAGCGAGGAGGAGAGAGAATAAGAATCGTGACGTGCTCTGACGCGTCGGCCTCGTCGGCCGGGTTCAATCGCGTACTTCTTTTCCAAAAAATACGGCGATCCGTTAGATATATCGCCGTATGAGTCATATTTTTTGGTTTTGGAGCTTCCCACCTATTCGCCCGGCCTTGTTTTGTGAGTTCGAAATTTCGGTTCAGTATCCCTTTAATGCTACTCCCTCACAAACTTGACACTTCGGCACAATGGAAGAGAAAAGTATGCAACGGAAACATACCAGCCACCTTTCCTAAATGCTTTGTTTTAGGGGGCACTGTATCCTCTTTGTGCACAATATGACCTCAATATTGTAAGCCACTGAAACAGAATACAGTGGAGCAATTGTAGACTTTACTGCACTAGCCTTATTGTAAATGTGATTTTACTGCAAAGACAGACTGGTAGAAGCACGCTTTGCATCCAGTCCTGAAAATACCAAAAACGGCACGAGTCATCCCGTGCCACTAGTGCTTGCAGACCTACCCTTTGATGGTTTACCATGAGGGCTTGTTGCAACAGCCATAAAGGTTGTCACCATTAAACCGCGGTGTGCCAAACTACGTTATCCACATTCATAAAAGCAAGTGAACGCAGAGCGCTCATCCGTCTGCTTCTTGCACAGGGGTTGCGATGACGTCAGAATACCAAGCTCTTATTGGCTGATTGAATAACATAGTAGATAGACCTCAAGGCATCCAGCATTGAGGTCTACCCACTATCCTTTCAATCCAAGCCAATTGGAGCTTGGCCTCATTCTGACGTCACCGCAACTCCTATGCAAGAAGCAGACGACTTGCTCTCTGCATAGGATTGAACTTGATTGGTTTATGGCAGCCGAACCCTCCATATCGGGCGATCACTGTACAAGAAGACTGGATCTAGCCAAAGGAAAAGGGAAAAGCAGTTTCTGGTTGCCAAACTGTTTCACATTGTCTGCTGTGTAGTGCACGGCGACGTGCGGTGAGAGTGGTTTCCGGACGCGGATCCTGCGCTGCGTTTGGTACGGCACCGACAAGCCGGCCGGAGACTCCTGCCGCAATCAGGACCGGCCCGAAGTGCTCCAAGGCTGCGATGCTCCCCCTTGCAACGCCACCAGTGAGTAGAGGTCATGTGCTCCAGGCTTCGATCTCAAGGGGACCACATGGTCCCTACCTCAACTGAAGTGTTTGTCCCGTTTAAGTGGTACTTTTGCATGTCTGACGAACGTCTACGGGCCACCAAGCACGCCCTCTACTTCATTCACTCCTAAGCTGACGGTGGAGTGGAAGCTACATGCTCGTTAGACCATTCGTACACTGGTACTTTGCCACATGATAACACTCCCGCCCATACAAACGTGCATTGAGTGGCATCGAGGGATGAAAGGGGGGCAGTCAATTGGTCCGGCGAGCACGTAGCTCCCACGGCACCATCAGCTTAAGGGTGAACCTAGTGTGATGTATGCATTATTGTTAACAAGGGCTGTAGGCCTTTGTAACAATGCAGAGGGCCAGAGGTTCCTCGAGATTAAGAATTTGATGACCTCTGCATTAAAATGCCTTCTTTTTATTTTCTGCACTTTAACCATTTATTTTAAATTTATAAACCATTCCATTTAGCGCTCTCTGGGCGGCACCATTTTGTGCGACCGCAGCGCCCTCTCCACACATCCGGGAAGTTCAGCGGGTTCGGCGGGGTAAAACGAGAGAGAGGGCACGTGCCCGACTCCGCTAGCAGACGACAAACCGGGAGGTTGCCGTTCTCCATCTTTGGGCTATATCGGCGGGCTCTACCGAACATCGAACTCTCGCTCGTGGCTGCCGTTGTGAAGTGGTTCGCGTTCTTAGAATAGTTGTGGCTACTCCAAAATCAGCCTATAGCTCTCTGTTGTTCTATTTTGCTAAATGATCAAATAGCATATCTTTTTCCCGTTACTTAAATGGCAGTTGAGTCAGCCGGCAGTACTACCCTCAACTACTGCTTGTATTGCGGCAGGAGAGCATGTTTTATTTATTATTTCAGACTTCCACTCATGGCCGCTAAAGGCCTACACCAGTACAAACTTTTGTATAGTAAAAAAGGTACAGCAACCGGATTTACTTTTCGCCAAAGAGACCGGCCAATCTGACACAGTTTTCCCCATTTTTTTATTTTTATTTGCACGCAGGTAACAGCGCAATTGGACCCTGTCAGTCTTTTTATCTAGCACAATATTACATAACTGGCATACGAAAATCTGCGCATCTGCGCTTGAAAGTTCAAAAATGACGCAATTTTAAAGAGTTTGCACGCCAGCCGGACGCTAGCTACAGCTCACTCGGCGGAGCGGACGTCATGCGGGGTGAGAGGGGGAGTGCATTTTTTTCTCTTTTACCCTCTCTGCTATGACCCTAATGGAACGGTCTACATTCACCAGAAAAAAAAAAAATTACTGTTTGTGCAAAATTTATTTACAAGACAAAGTTTCCTTTCAATTTGATATACCTCGTTTCAGCTTCCGTCCGAGCACAGCCAAAGGCTGAGGGACGGTTCGCAACTTCGGGAAGAGCATTCCTACGCACCACAAAGTAGTCCGACAATGTATTTTTTTTATATATAACTGTTTTCTGCGTAAACATTACACAATATTCCAGATCTGTGCTGCTAAGAATGATTTGCAACTAAAGAAATTAAATATATGAAGTTTATGTTTTTAAAAATATATGTAATTGCATGTGGTTTGGTGAAAACACGTACATCCGCTGGCAACACTGCTGCAGCGCTCGGTTTTTCTGTGTGATTTCGTCCCGTAATGGTCGAATCGTGTGCTTCTTTGCTTTACTCACCGAGTCGCTTCAAAACGTCCTTTCGCAAAGGCACGTTTGGGCGTCAGGCGCGAGAGGTCGTGATAAATGCCTACTTTCAAAAATTCAAATTCGGCAGGAGACTCCGGTCGCGTCGTACCGCGAATGCGTTGTAAACAATCAAAGCGTCCGGCCCTCTACAATTCACTGATACGCGGCGAAATCAGGGCACCCCTTTACCTGCCTATCACATTGAACGCCGAGAAGCTGGTGGAAAGAACCGCGTCTCGAGCCCTGGTATATCCAGAAAATACAACGAAACATCAACGGCCGGGTCATCGGGCACCTTGCAATGTATACTTACATCTCGAAACTATGTCGAAATGGTGGAAAGCTCGGACACGGACGCCAGCGGCCAGCCTACGTACTGACATCCCCTGTGACTAAGTTTCAGAACTTGAAAGGGCACTTTTTAAATTTGTAGCAGACGATTCTGTTGATACAGCCGTAGCAGACGAAATACTCGGCAAGCGCGGGCGGCGCGGACTACCAGCGGCGCGGCGGAGTGATACAAAAGTGCAGCCAAGATCGCATGACCGATTGCAGGCGTGTGATTGGCTCCGGCCACACGTAGCTCTGGCTGCGCTCGGACGGAAGCTGAAACGAAGTATAGTAATAACAAAAAGAATGTGTCGAGTATTGCGCTCGACACTCGTGTGTTTCAGTATAATTAAGACCGTTTTACTGTAAGAGGGCAAGAGAGAAAAGGGGAAAAGGCTGCCGGCACTTTTTTCCTTTCCCGAGTGATTAGAAACGAGCGAAAGACCCGGATGAACGCCTTAGATGCCCGTGTTCCTAAAAGTTTGGTTGTTTTCTTTGCGGTTTTTTCTATTTTATTTTACTTCCAGATGTAATTGGAGCTAGCGGAATCAATGACGACTATCTGCTGGTCATCGGGACATCATTGTTCGGTAATAGGCTGCATGAATAACAACTGAAAGCGCTGAATATTATCGAAAGACATCTGTATTGTGCTAAGGATCCGACAAGGCCACTGCGGCTGAACTGTCTTCAAACTTCATCCCTTTCCAAATGACCAAAACCTCCGGCAACAGTGGGTTGCGTCCGTAAACAGAAAAGATTTTCCCCCAACGCCATTCTCTCGAGTGTGCTGGGAACATTTCGTGAATAGAGCGCGCACCAAACTTACCGCCGATACCCTCGATGAACATGGGCTACGCTCGCAAGATGGACGCAAGTTCTCTCGTGAGGATCGCTATTTCAGCTTGTACTTAATGCTTATATTTCGCACCGCCGCCGGGTGTGGCTGGAAATAGTCGAAAAGTTAGTCCCCATCGGTTTTTCTTAATCACAATCTTCTACGTGATAGCGGAGAGCCGCAAACTTGCGTTGAACGCTACGACACGACTGGGTTCTTCTTATTTTGCTAATTAGTACATGACGTAGCTCGAAAGGAAACTTCAATTTGTATTGGTGCAACATGCTCATGCATTAATTTCAAATTGTTGATCAACTCGGTTCAGCAATAGGCCCATTTCAACATCGCTGCTGTCAGTTCCAGACGAAGGACACACTTGTCCATACGGGATCCTTAAAGGGACACTGACACCCCCCAAAATTTTTTTTTAATTTTTTGCCAGGCGCTTCATTATGATGTCGGAGGACTACCCAATTAATATTTTGCAACAGAGTAGCGTATTTTTTTAATAAAGCCAAAAGACGCAACTGCTCGAAACCGAAACCGAAACCCGACGGAGGTCGGAGAAGTGGAGAGAAGAGAGCGAGTGGCGGAAGTCACGTGGCTACACCCGACCGTGTTTTTTTTTTTTGTTTGTTTTTTTCTCCTTCCCGGTAGCAGACGACATGCGGCGTACGGGAGCTGTTTGCCGTGGGATTCTTTTGCAGTTATGTATGTTCCGCTCGTTGTTCTGTACTCTAAGATGAGTTGTTTTGTATATTGAGGAGTTGGAGATGAGTAGTGAGTGCCCGTGGTGAATTTTGATCGGCTCCGAAAAGAATACACCCAAGATGTTGCGTGAAGAGCTGGCTGACAAGTCCTGCGTCCGAAACAGAAGTGGCATTGTGCGACAGAGTTTCCGAAAGATCAACGGGATCGGGACCAATGGCTGGCTGCAATTCCTGTAGACCATTTACGGGCACCTCGGAAAGCGGACGCTACCTGATTTATATGCTCCTTGCATTTTGTGGAAAGTGATTACATTGAGTTCGCAGGTGTCAAAAAGGAAATCCCATACCATTTAATTCAGCGACGTGTCGTCCACAAAATCTGTTTCATTTTTTTTTCCTTCAGTGATAATTATAAAAAAAAAGAAATGTAGACATCGAAAAACATTAAAAAAAAAAAAAAAAAGTGTCACGGGGGATCGAACCCGATACTACGGCGTGTAAAGCGGACGTCTTTCCCACTGAGCTACTGGGGCATATCGAAACTAGTGGATCTCTTTCCGTAGTAATAATCCAGCCGATAAACTGTAAGTTGGAAAGTTTGCTACCGATTTTCCTTTAGCAAAAGCACTCCCGGGTCGAAGTCGGGATGCACCCCGCATTGGCGACATTCTCACCTTGTAAAGAAATTGTACGCGTACATATTCAACTCGAAGTAGACACGTCGTGCTTGACGTTTGCGCGAGCGATGTCTTCAGCCACGAGAAGGGAGCGACGGCTCGGCGACGTCTTCGTGCAAATCGGCTTGGTGGTCGGGCGTGTCGTACGGGATGAAGACCAATTCTTTTGATCAGTCCCAAATTTCTCTTTTAAAGGCAGACAAAATTCTCCGGTACCGCGAACGACAGTTCTGAAATAGAGGTCCCACGCCCGTCGTCCGCTGCCATCGCGTCCCTGCGAGTCCCACGATACGCGAAACGACGCACGCACAGAATGCTTCCGGTTGTCTGTGGAACTTTTTTTTCAATCAACGTATTTGCAGCTTTTTAGAAGCCACAAAAAATGGGTTTCATATTTTTTTCTATTTTTAATAATGAGTGTGTGCCTTCAGTGACCCACGACTTTGATTAAATTTGGTGGTCGCATCGATACCTTAGAAAACGGCCCGTGACCGCAGAAAAGAGAGTGAGCGAGACTCGAACCGGCCAGTTCTTGATCGGCGGTTTTCGGGCGGAAAGAAACCGAATTTCGAGCCGCAAATTCTGTTCTGGGTAGTTGAGCTCTCATATGTCACGTACAACTAAAAACCTCGGCGAGCATAAATACCCTGTCAGTGTCCCTTTAATTAACACCTTCATAAACATCTGCAAGCCCGAGGGAGCTTCCTTCGATCGTTCCCAGCAATCTTATTTCGCACGTCCTTGTTCACATTAAATACAAGATAAAATAAAACTTAAAGGGCGGACAAAACAACACACTTGTCCGTCCTTAGTGTTTTCTTCTTCCTTTTATTTAACTTTACCATCAACGCACTCAACTAAAGTTTATTGTTCACATTATATTTCATTGTTGTGGACAACATGCAATGCCAAAAATGTTCTTGGTGTACTGCATCTAAAACGGCAAAAAAAAAAACCGAAGAAAAATTCAATTGCTGTTAACTGAAACAATATTTTGAGTACTCTCCTCCAATTTCTATCGGTGGCGCGTTCAGTGCCACGTTCAGTGTCGCTCATCTCAGCATCGCCGCACTGGCGGATGCCATAATGCGGGGCAAAAAAAGTTCTCAATGAGTTTAAAAACACCATCCGCAGAACAAAATAACAAAAGATGGGCCCCAGGTCGGATACCCGCACTTTGGAGCACTGAACTAGCACACTCAACACAAAAGCGGCGCCCCGAAGAGCACTTTCACCAACGTTTCTAACCATTCAGCATGGCTGCAGAATGCGACGCTCGCTAGATGACGCCACGGTATTCAAAATGGCACTGCCCACAATAAAACGGTCTGTAGTCCACAACTGCACTAAAATGCGCTTGTGGGTAAATATGTGAAATTCAGTGATGAAAGTGCCATTTGACCTTTTGGAGCAGGCCTTGTAGCAGGCAAAATGTTGTTTTGGAGCAGGTAGTGGCCCTTTTGGAGCAGGGTCCGGCATATGTTGGCATATTACTTGAAAATGAAATAATGCTGCATTGCCATACAAAGCCCTTCTCTATCATTGGAACACAGCGTCTGTCGCCTTTTTAAGGCAGGACATATAAAAATCAACTAAGTAAACACAAAAGAAAACATTTTTTTAATAAAGTTTATCTGCTCGTCAGATAAAAAATACAATTAAATATGTCACACTGAGTTCTGATGGTACAGGATATTTCGTTTTATCAGCCTGCACTTCTTTTAAGGTATCTGCAACAGCATCTAACGACCCTCACTGTTGTGGAATGTTTTAGTTTAGATTAGAGTTGTCTTTCGGGCAGCAGCTCCAAATATTGCGGTATCTGATATTCGCTTCAAAAATTCCGATTCATTTTCGATGTGCTGGCGAGGTCACGATCGGATCACGGCGAGTTAACCCGTTGAGTGCGCTCCTTGGCATGCACCGACGCGCTGCAGAGAAGCAACGCCCGCGGAGCAGACACCGCAGTCGCGCGAGTCGCGCAGTGCTTTGTGCTCCGAAAAGTATGGCGAGGCTTTACCAGCACTAAATCCAGAGTTTGGTGCAACTTAACTATACTTTGTTTTAGCTTCGGTGCGAGCTCAGCCGAAGCTACAAGCGCGCACATGAAGCCCGTAACAGTGCCCACACTGCACGAGCCCACGCGTGAGTCAGCAATGCAGAGCATTGGGCTCGCGCTTGCGGGCCAACACTGAAAACATCCACAAGCTCAGCCTCTTTTTTTGTTAAATAGGCTGCTCAGTGGGATGGTTCTTCGCTTAGCCTCAGCGGCTTTGGTCTCAGATGTTGCTATGTTGTTCCTTTCAATGATGATGATGATGATAATGCGCACTCGCAGCTTCGGTTTGCGTAACAGTTGCGGCGCGGAAAATACCGCGGTACAGCCATGTGCTCTGATAAAACTTCAATTTTTAATTTTTATTGCTACATCTCATCTCGGCGCAGGCATGGCGCAATTCTTCGGTAAAATGACAATTTGGCACTACATGTAGCAGGATTACGTCCTTGGCGCAATTGGCGCAGCACTTCCATCACTGGAAATTTAGACTTCCTTGTACGTATGGCTCTTGTCAAGAGAACAGCGGAGGAGGAGAATGACTTTCTGCAAGTGGTATTGAGCTAGGAGAGGCACCAACAAGGGTTAGCATTCTAGACAATATGCCCTGCTCCCCACACAAAAGCAACAAAAGCTTCATCTCTTCTTTTTTTCCTTTTCTGACGCAGGGCAGACATGCGAAGACCACTCCATCAAGTGTCACATGATCCGCCGCTTCAGCATGTGCCACATAAACAAGTACCACGACCTGTGCTGTGCCACCTGCGAGCGCAGCTAAGCTCTCTACCAAGGTGCAAGTTTGCCCCTGTGCCCCCTCCCCACCCCCCTTGCCCCCCCAGCAACGAAGAGGGTCACGTGACTCTTTTGTGTACCAACTGCAGTGCCCCAAACTGAGATTTTAAGTTGCAGAGGTGCTTCGTAGCTCGTCGCGGCATGCTGCAAACTTATGAAAATCCCGTCGCGAGTTTGATAGACTGCTTGAAGCTTTCCAAGCGCGTAAAGAAGACCATTGTTGCCGAGCCATTACGTTACGACAACTTCGCGTCAAGCGAGGCGAGCCCGTGCAGTTGCGAGAGGTGTGTTCATAGAAACATCAACTACTTGAATCATTTCTTGGACGCTGTTTTGTTGACAGACATTTGCATTCAATGTTAAGTGCAGGCAATACCTCGTACCAATAAGAATTTAATGACCCAAATTAATACTTGGGGTACTGAGGTACATGGATCGACTTCGAAACGTCCCGTAAGCTTCCACATGAAGTAGGTCAATGAAATGACTGACTCTCTATGAAACGTCACGACGGAAAGCGGTTCAATGCAACGATGGACCACGAAGGAAACCGGCCAGTCTCTAAAATTGCAGCGTGAGGTAAGGTAAAATGAAGGTGAGCCATGCCCATAACCAGTGTAACTCCGCAATGCGCATCCTTTTCAGCTTACAATGACGAAACAGTTGTTTGCGTGCGACACAATCTTGCAGGAGTGTACTGCTTACCTTCGCGAGATCACTGCAGTTATCAGAGGTGTTGACTTTGCACTGCTTTGTGGGGCATTACTCCCAGAAAAAACTCTTTCTGAAACGGGTAGGCAGCTAGAAGACAAAGAATGTGTGACTGCCATTTTGTGTTTCTTTAGAACACGAACAAACACAATTCCACTTTTGTTTTCTTACAATTTAATGTCACTAGTATGCTCGTCTTTTTTTCTTGTAGTATAGTATATTTTTCTGATGTTACATTTTTAAATAGGCAAAGAAAAAAAAAATCATTTGCCATAATCTTGTACATTCCAAACTGTCTTTACATTACATATACTGTCAATGTTTTTAAGAATTTGTGCATTTTGTATTGAACATTATATTGTTTGTCCTCAGTGGTGCGAAAAAATTATTCCCAACAAGCAATATAAAATATACTCACGAGATGATATACAAGTTTGGTAAATGAATTATTCCACACAATTCCACCAGAGAAAAGCTAATACTTAAAAATAGCCTCTATTTTTTTTTTTTTTATCTCGCAGCTTTGAGTTGTGATGCTTTATAAAAACATGGCGGATTACAATTTTGTAAAAAAAAAAAAATTAACTACAAAGCCTAGATACCAGAAATGGATGACCCAAATAGAACAAATTACTTTACAAGCAAGTTCATATCAGCATTTGGGTGTATCAACCTTAATAACTTTTGATGTGATATTTATTTGTTGTTCAGTGCAAATGCTTTCTAGAATATGTTTAGAACAATCATAATGTTCATTATATGCAGAAACTAGCCCCATAACTTAGTTTTTATCCAATCAACACATTCCATTGCATAATTGTGTTCACTTCCTTTACCTTTCAGTAGTTCGCAGCGTGCACAATGTAAAGATGACTGTCAAAATCGTGCTCGCCATTTGTTGGTTGTGCCGTCCCTTTTCCTTTCTGTGCTTACTTTATTGTGTTCCAGCTATAGTATGTAGCTTGTCAACACTGCCATGTGACTACACAATTTAATGTAAGTCAAGAAAACCTCAAACCTTGACTGTAAATCTCCCAATGAGACCCACCGCTCCAAGTAAACATTCCCAGTGTTAATCATGACATGTAGTTTCCCGTTTTCTTCTGTTGTACAATTCATAGGCTCGATCAACAGACAGGCACCATTTCGTCTGTTATACAATGTCCTGTTAGAGATACCCAATAAACTACAAATAATGTAAAGAAATATTTACTGGCAGCTTAACAAGTATTTAACATTAATTCCTCTCAACTCGTAATTGTGACATTATCAGTGTTTATGGTAATGTTTCTTTGTATAGCAGTTTGGCACTTGTGTGAACATATACCTTGAATCAAAATGACATTTGGAGCCATGTTACGAGTTGCATGAAAGATGTGTGCCAGTCTGGGTGGTTACTCGCAGTGCATGTTTTTTTTTACATGTTACATACCCACACTTCTCCGTTACGTAAAGCTTGAGACAAGTTAGCAGCAGTGAAGGGAATGTACAGGCAGAGTCACTGGTTCACGCCCACAAAGCAATAAGTTGTGTGTCTGTGAGATGTTATTTATGGATCTCGTAGTGCCAATAAATTATGAGCTAGAAGAGTGGCTTCTGCTTCAACTCCCTCTTAACCTTTCATAGGTCTTTTCCTTTTTTTCTTTTTTCAGGAAAGACGTGCCCCAGTGGCCCAGTTTTTTCCCAAGGGGATGGTACAAAGAAAAGTTGAATGCACAGAATTTTGTGTTATCAAATGGGAGCATACCATAATATCCCGAGATAGCTAACCTGAAATTGAGAGACAATCGGGCAAAAGTAAGGACTGGGCTTAACTTTCAGTGTACAATCAAGTTGAAAAAAGACAATATTTTTAGATCATGTTTTTCTAGTCAAACTTGCTATTGCAGCGAGAAGCAACGAAGCGAAGACGACTGTACTTCCCGGTCGGCAATGTTTTCTTATATCCCGCCATAGCTAACTAGTCGTATTTAAGCTAGGGTCATCATTGATCCGAGGAGTAGGCTATCTTTCGGTGTTTAGAAGGAAACAGCAACTCTAGCCAAAAATAGAGGTGGGTTATCTCTCCTACGGTAGTTCTTGCAAACTGTCCGGATTGAGAAGTATCACATAGAGCAGGGGTCTCCAAACTTTTTGGCTAAGGGGCCGGACTGGGAATCGGTCGCGATCTCGAGGGCTGGGATATAAGCATGGACATTTAAAGTATAAATGGGCTCTTCGTTTTCGTCTTTTTTTATTTTTATTTTCACGTCCGTGACATTTTTTGAATGGAGGAATCTTTTTTCTTTTCACTCTAATGTCACTCTACCAAAAGTATTCTTTTTTATTTTTCTTCAAATTGTTTCAGACTACGCCCCTAAAAGGAAAAGCATGCAGGAGAACATCAAGGTTAAGCCACATGGCCCTCCAAAAGGAAAATGGGCAAAACCTATTGAAGACTTTGATGGGTGTTACCGCGACGCAAGGGCAGCAAGAGGTGCCAGGAGTGCTGTTCTCACCGTGGGGTAAACAAAACGCACAAAGTCTAGCTTGAACCTTGTCTGCTCAAACAGGCACGCTGGCTGACGGGCTAGTTTGGTCTCTCGAGTGGTCTGACCATCGAGATTTTTCACATTATTTTTGGCTCAATATATGGGCACGATTGCACCATGCTAAACTTTTGTTCAACCCTTTTATAACCTAGACAATAGGGACACAATCATCGGAACAAGATAAAACTTGGTGGGGATGTTAAAATGGTCACTGACAAAAATAAAACCCGAAAACGAAGAACCCTAATTATAAATAACTACCATAAAGTTTTGAGAGAACACCTGCTCTCATGAGATCACCCATTCCCTTTTTCTGGCTATAGTCGGTTACAAGTCAAGAAGGTAGGAGAAGCTCCTCCCATAAGTGTGATGTGCCCGTTCCAAATCCATCTGCAGTCGAAAGAACTTTCCTGGAAACGCCCCTTGTTCCGCTTCAGTGAATAGATAATGGCTACAGACTGATGCCAACTTGTCTCCGACCCCCACTTTTTAAGAAAGTGACCTTTGCATTCATCAGAGGGGGAACCGAGCCCCTGAAAGCAGCCTCTGTATCCATAGGAGGGGGAACCTAACCCCACAAAGTCGTATTTGTTTTCTTTGGAGGGGGAAAATTCTAATCTCCCTCTCGTGGCTTCCACAACGCTAAGTCAAAGTCAAAAGAAAAAGGAAATATTTACAGGAAGGCAAAACCCTCTCCCGCGTTGGCCAAGTCACCGAAACGATGGGACGCTATTGGATGCGGAGGCAGCGGAGGGATATATGAATCCCTTTGAAGGGCATTTGCCGCTACCGTCTTGACCTCTAACTTACTGTTATCACTTCGGCAGCGTCACCGAAGCATGACGATACTGTTATCTACTGTTTGTTTGTTTTATTAGCGGTTTTGCCATTGGCCCGTGGCAGCGCTATATATACTTCCACGCCTGCCCGGAACAAAGCGTTCTTACCCTGGTAGCCGGCCTGCCTGTTTGGTCTTCGCGGTTCTGTCCTACCGCGAGATGACAAAGTGACAACAGTGGCGACGAACTCCGCCGGGCAGGAAGCAAGAGCTGCTCAAGATCGGAGACGGGGGCAATGGCAACGCCGACCAGCTTTCAAGTTCCTGGCTTCGACGACAGCAGAGATAAGTGGGACTCCTACATTGTACGCGTTGAAGCGTACTTCGAGGGAAATGCTATTGCCAGTGGGAAGACCAAGAGAGCGCTGTTAGTTTCGGCACTCGGCACGCATACGATAGAGGTTTTAAGTGGTAGCTGTGCCCCGCGAAAGGTGAATGAGTTATCGTATGAAGAAGCAGTGGAATTCCTAGAGCAGCACTAGGCGTGCAACCAGAAACGGAGAGCGTACGAGAGTTTGTTGTACAGATCCGCAAACTTGCTGAAAACTGCAAATTTGGCATGAGCCTTGACCGAATGCTACGGGATAGAATTGTTTGCGGTGTGAGAAGTAGAGACGTCCAGCGAAGGTTGCTGTCACGGCGGGACCTTACGTTGAATGAGGCGGAAGAAGTAGCAGCCGTAGCCGAGGCAGCCGATTCCGAAGTAGAACAAATGCAAAGGCCAGAAACGAAGGAAGGAGGCATACACAAAATGGTGAACCAGCCGTCAAGAATTGTATACGGGCGGGAGAAGCACCTTTTGGTGGCTGCATGTGGTCGGTGTGGAAGTTCATCACACACCGGGGAAAACTGCGGACACAAAACGAAAACGTGTTTTCGCTGTGGAAAGCAAGGGCACCTAGCCAGAAAGTGTTGAGCTGCGGGGTATCGGAAGCGAAGCGGGAAACCTGATAAGGAACAGATTTCATCGTTTTTGGCGGACGCTTCAGCAGAAGATGATGACTTGTGTATTTCGTAGGTGTATGCCATCAAGTCGCAAGCTGCAATGGTCTGTTTGGTTCCACCCGTCAGGAAGAAGCTTTACTGGGGAGGAATTGACGTCAGCATGGAGATAGACACTGGCTCTCCTGTCTGCGTCATTCCTCGGAACGTGCATCTTCAGTGCCGAAACCAATGGCCTAGCCTTGCAAAAAGCGAACTGAGACTGAATTTTTATCTAAAAAAATTGCCCATCTCAGGAGAGCTGCAGCTGGACGTTGCATTCCGGGGCCGCACGGTTCCTGCAAACTTGGTGGTGTTGGATTGCCTCGGACCCAGCCTTTGTGGCCAGGACGTAATCAACAAGTTGAACTTGCTTGGCGCAGAAGTGGCCTCTGTTTCTGCTCACCGAGACTACCAGGAATCGGAATCCCTGCTCAGCGACTTCCAGGACCTGTTCGAGCCCAGTCTAGGAGCCATCGAGGGGCCCCTGTGCATCTCTACCTGAAGGAAGGAGCCCGCCCGAAATTCATGAAGGCAAGACCCATTCCTTACGCTCTAAGGGATAAGGTTTGTGAGGAGTTAGACCGCCTTGTTCAAACGGGACTGTTATCTCCGATAACACATTCAGAATGGGCGGCGCCGATCGTTCCTGTGCGGAAAAGTGATGGATCCGTTAGAATTTGCGGAGATATTAAGTTGACTGTGAATGCTGCCTGTGCTACTGAACAGTACCCTCTGCCCAGCATAGCAGACATTGTTGCGTCGATGCGTGGTGGAGCCGTGTACACTACGTTAGACCTGCGAGACTCATATAACCAGGTACCGTTGGACGAGGATTCCAAAAAACTGACTGTGATTAATACACCATCGCGGCCTCTTCCGTTACAACCGGTTGCCGTTCGGGGTTGCATCGGCTCCAGCCATTTTTCAGAGAAAAATGGAAACCATGCTGGCCGGCCTGCCAGGAGTGCAGGTGTACTTGGATGACGTGTTGGTGGCTGAGCAGCCAGGAACTGAAAACCTGAGGGCTGTGCTGCAACGATTTCAAGACATGGGCGTGCGGCTGCAGCAGTCGAAGTGTACTTTTAGGAAAAGTGAAATTTGCTACTTGGGCCAGACTGGACCAGGAAGGGCTTCACCCTATCAAGAAGAATCTGGACACCAACCGATAGGCCCTAAGCCCTACGAACGTAAGCGAGCTCCGTGCCTTTATTGGATTGTTGACGTATTATCATCGGTTTTTGCCAAATATGTCTACCCCACTGGCACCGCTTTACGAGCTCTTAGAAAAAAATGAAGCATGGCAATGGGGACCGAGACGAGACGCCGTTGAAAAGGCCAAGACACTATTGCTAAAGTCTCCGGTGTGGACGTCCTTTGATCCCGCTAAACCACTCCGTCTGCAATGCGATCCCTCGCCAACAGGAGTAGGAGCGCTGTCGCACTGATTGGGGTCTGTAGACCGACCGATCGCATTCCGTTCCCGAAGCCTGACATCAGCGGAAAAAAAAATATTCCCAATTGGAGAAAGAGCACTGGCCTTGGTTTTTGCCGTGACCAAGTTCAGGGATTATGTGATAGGTCGACAGTCTGTCCTCGTTACCGACCACCAACCCCTGGGCCGGTTTTCTCGAAGCGATGGTAAACCCATTTTGGTAAACCACGGTGCCTAGGAAGGAAAAAGTACCTAGGTACCGTAATAAGCGGCTGGATATAGAACAACCATAATTATTTGTGATTGGGCAGCAAGATGCGCCATCTATCGGTGAAACAAGCCAGTCATTTTGTTTATCCTCTTTTTCCGCTGGTTGTTATCGATCTAGTATGGTATTTTAAGTCAAAATATAGTAATGTTGTACTTGAAGACCACTTTATTTGCTTGAGATGGTACGAAGAAATTTTTGCTACTATGCTAGAGTTTGTCGACCAATATTCGAAAATGTAAGAAACATTTCCTTCAATATATTTGGCCATAAACAACGCATAACTTTCCCGTGTGCCTTCCAGTCTGGCAACGCCGGTGCTGTAGTCTCGTTTTTGTTCCTTGCGACGCACGTTTCTGCGATTCCTGCTGATCTCAACTGTTTGCCCCCTCTTCCGTTTGCCCAACCGATCCACCGGTGACGAGAAGCTAAGCTTCTCGTCACCGTTGAGTTATTGGCCACCGGGGATATGTAGAAACCTCGATGCTGTCGGCATACTGTCGGCGCACTGCGAACAAAAAAACAGTACAATGTCCCAG